AAGGGAAAGGGAGAGAAACACCCACAGGAGAGAGAGACCATCGACTGCCTTCTGCACACCCCCCTCCACCGGGGACCGAGCCCACACCCGGGCTTGTGCCCCGACAGGGGGTCGAACTGGCAACCTCAGTGCACGACACGATGCTCAACCCACTGAGCCACCCCAGCCAGGGCAGCTTTTATTTTTAACTCACACAGAGACCTCATCCCCTTCTTCAGACAGGACCACCGGAGACAGTCCGGTCCGTCTGTCCACGTGTCTGTGCTCATTCGGATCCCACACCCACATGTGCTTATCACTGTGCTACGTGAGTGGAATCTGCTCTTCAACTTGCTTCACTTTACTGCGCTTTATCACCAAGAACAAATGGACACTCACTACAAGCTATACAAACTGGAATGCGACAGATGTGAACTGACCCCCACCCCGCCCCACCCCAGCGAGCACAGGAGGTGCTGCCAGGTGCCCACAGAAACAAGCTGGAGAGGTTCTGGTGAGAGAACAGTGGAAGACAGAATATGGTCCATTGCTGAGCTGATAGATGTGGTTACTCACGGACACTGGCTGAGGCTTTTCTTCTCTCAAGTGTTCTGAGCGACTCTGATGGCACAGCACTGACTCACGCCAGCTCATCCACACCAAACTCCGTGCACAGAAGCCGAGAGCCGTCCTGAGGCCCGGGGAGAGAGAGCAGCCTGTGGTCAGGGGCCCTGCAGCTCCCGCTCCGAAAGGCCGCTCCCTCAGACCTCTGACCGCGAGCACACATTCAGACGGCAGTGCTCAGAAGCAGGACAGGCAGGACAAGTCTCAGAGGCAGGAAAAACTGAGTGCCCCAGAAAGGTCTAAGGAGGTGCTCCTTCCTTGGTCCCTCCACTTCGTTTTGCAGGGGGAAGGTCAGGCAGGAGAGAGACGTGTCCAGAGAGACGTGTCCAGATGGCTTCAGCACATGACAGATGCTGAGCCTGGGACGAGAGCAGTCCTCCCGGAGTGACGGGGGTCCCGTGCACACCCACGGGGGGACGGGTCTCCCCCAGGTACAGCCCACACACATTTGCCTTGCTCAGGTCTAGTCAGTCATGGTCAGGAAAGCAAAGTAGGTTCTTGACAGGCATGGCACGAACTGTGTCAACTGCACAAGAGTGGCAATGGGAGAAATACTTTCAGAACGATTTAGCAGGCCCTCACTTACGGATCCACGGACCTTCCCCTTTGTCCTACCAGGAACACTTCTAGGAATTTATCCTAAGCACACAAATACTTTAAATAATAAAAAACAGGAAATCAAATGCCAAGCAATAATGGATTGACTAATCAGTTATGACAGGTGACACAATGGCATAGCAAATGGCTATTAAAAGCAATGCTGCTGCCCAGACGGTATGGTTCAGTGGTTGAGCGTCGATCCTGCACCAAGAGGTCGCCGGTTTGATTCCTGGTCAGGGCACATGCCCAGGTTGTGGGCCCAATCCCCAGTGGGGGGCATGCAGGGGGCGGCCAGTCGATGTTCTCTCTCATCGATGTTTCCATCTCTCTCCCTCTCTCTAAAATCAATAAAGAAAGACAACAATACTGCTGTTTTGGGGAGACAGTTGGTGAGTGGTTATCATAAGCCAAGCATGTTCTAGATGGTAAATAATAGTACTGCCTCTATTTTGTAGATTAAAAACTTGACTTGAATATTGGCAGAGAAAGCTTTTTTTTATCTTTACCCGAGGACATTTTCGCATTTATCTTCAGATAAAGCGAGGGGGGGGGGGGGGAGAAACATTGACGTGAGAGACACACGACCCCAACCGGGGTCAGGACAAACAGCAACTGAGGTACGAGCCTTTAGCGGCAACCGAACCCAGGACTCTCTGGTCCACGGGTTGACACTCTAACCTCTGAGCCAAACTGGCCAGAATGAAAAATTGTTACAGTATACTATTCAGTAAACAAAGAAAGTTGTAAAATACTGTATTAACGTGTAGAAATTTGATGACTTCCCTAATTTTTTTCTTTAAAAATGTATTATTTATGTATGGAAATACAAAAATGGGAAGAATTTTTAGTCATTTTCCAGGACTTGAGATGATTTAGTACTATATCTTCACTCCTTTATTTACTTTCTTCCTTCCTTTTTAACAACTTTTTGGCTTTTTAAAAAATCTGGAGACAGGGTAAACAGGGTTGGTCTCCTTAGTAATAGTAGCCGGAGCTCCCAAACATTCTTTGCTTTTTGTCTTGTTCATTAGTTTCTTTCACGACTGTTTGGATTTCCTGAGTAATAGGTATGCATACTAATGATGGGTCCAATTTTGTTCTGAGCGTTTCAACATGATGACTGTGAAACGGCCTGATTCAACGTTTAAATCAACAATTTTAACAGCTTAAGTCAACAATTTTAAGTGGGTCATCAGCTCCTCCTAGAATTCTCAGAACGTTTCTACCCGCATTTTGAGTTTGGGGCCACTGTCTTGTTGCAGATGTCAACAGGGTTCCTACTGAGCATAAAGACGCCATTGGGAGGATTTCTCAACTTTCTATGGAGAGTTCCTAAATTAAACAGATGCATGTTCAATAAACTATGGAAACAGGACAGAGACATAAAATCTCCACCTTTCGTTCTTCATCGAAGTATCCTTGTTGTGCATTTCTATGCATTACCCTAAAATGTCCAGTGTCACTACATAGCAGATACCTGCTTTGAAAGGAGGCAGGTTCTCTGCAACGTCACCCAGTGGGCCCACACTGTATTACTGGCTTGTGATACCTTTTCTCCAATCTCAACTTCTGCTGAGTAGTCAACCTGATAAATGCACCATAATGTAAACAGCTAGTGTCTTTCTGATGAGTCAGGGTTTTTCTCTTAGAAACTTTCCTGGAGAGCAAATAATGCAAAAGGACATCTACATGGTTGATTCTATTTATCTTACAGCCCCAAATCAGGTGCAAGTATTCTACGCTGTCAGGGAGGTTCTGCTACTTACCATGTTTCTTTTTCTTTTTTAAAAAAAATGTATTGGTTTGAGCCCTGGCCAGTTTGTCTCAGCAGTTATAGCATCGGGCCTGCAATCCAGAGAGACCCGGGTCGGTTCCCGCTAAGGGCATGTACCTCGGTTGCAGTTTGTCCCCGGCCCTGGTTGGGTCGTGCGGGTGGCAGCCACTCGATGTGTCCCTTTCACGTCGATGTTTCTCTCTCTCTCTCCCCCTCCCACTCTATCTGTTTTTTGTTTGTTTGTTTGTTTTTTTATCCTCACCTGAGGACACCCTTCCATTTTTTGTTTAGATAGAGTGGGAGGGAGAGAGAGAGAGAGAGAAACATCGATGTGAAAGGGACACATCGAGTGGTCGCCACCCACACGACCCAACCAGGGCCGGGGACAAACTGCAAACGAGGTATGTGCCCTTAGCGGGAACTGAACCTGGGTCTCTCTGGACCGCAGGCCGACGCTCTAACCGCTGAGCCAAACTGGCCAGGGCCCTCCCACTCTATTTGAACAAAAAAATGGAAAACTGTCCTTGGGTGAAGATAAAAGAAAAAAAATTCATTGGTTTGAGAGAGAGAGACATCGATTGGTTGTTTCACTTATTCATGCACTCTGGTCGACTGCTGTACATGCCCTCGCTAGGAAGCCAACCCTCAACCTTGGCGTGTTGAGACAACGCTCCGAGCAACCAAGCTGCCAGAGCAACGAGGTGCTTCTCGATGTGCGAGCTGGGCCCCGTGTGTCTCCGTGGAAGGCACGACCTCCATCAGCACGTGAAGGAGGCTCTCAGCGAGCAGGGACTTCGGGGAGCTGGAGGCGGCCTTAGTGCGACTGCTGCTTGTCGGGTTTGAACCTGGGTGCTTTGTGCAGCGTCTGGGGCTCAGCTAGGCCACCGCGTGGCTGTAGCTCTGTGCTTCTGCACAGTGAAATGACCATCACGACATAACAGGAACACACACACGACTGGCCGGCACAGCTTTTGGGGACCCCATGTCTGTTTCTGGCCCCTCGCTGTCGTCTGGCGGAGGTCCTGCTTGTCCGCGGATCTGCAGGACGTTTCCTTTGGAACCCCACCCTGGACGCCGCGTGCGGAAGAGCTCGCACCCACAGCCCCCGCGACAGCTGTGCTCCGCATGCGGCCCGCACGCTCCGGCGACCCTGCGCTTCGTTCTCGCACTTGTCTGCCGTCTCCGCGGCCCTCGCTCTCCTGGCCCAGGCCGTGCTCTCGGCGCGTCCTTCCCATTTCCCGAGACTCCAGTTCTCCTTAGAGTTCTCATCTTCACTCTAAGTAAATGGCATCCTGGTGCCGGGCTCACGAAGCTGGTCTTTCATCTCTTCCTTTAACATGTTCCGCTGTGAGTCTGACATGTAAACATTTCTAGACCACCCCGGCCCGTTGCTCAGTGGTTAGAGGTCGGCCCACGGACCAAAGAGTTACGGGTTCGATTCCGGTCAAGGGCATGTGCCTCAGTTGCAGTTTGGTCCCCAGCCCTGGTCAGGGTCGTGTGGGAGGCGACAATCGATGTGTCTCTCACATTGATGTTGTTTCTCTCTCTCTCCCTCTCACTCGGAAAATAAATGGAAAAATATCCTCAGGTGAGGATTTAAAATAAACAAATAAATGAAATTTCCAGACCAACCCTCACACACTGGTCCACTCTCCACCTTCTCTTACCTTTTTACCAACCTTCTCCAGCTGCCGAGGTTCTTGCTGGGTCACAAGCAGGCCAGGCAGGTCCCTCCTCCTTCAGCATCTCACATGTGCTGTTCTCTCCGCAGCTGGTGGGGTCAATGCCAGAGGGCACTGGTCGCCCTGAGGAAATGGGTCCCCAGGCCGAGTCCTCACCGAGCCCAGAGCCTCCGCGCCTCCTGCCACCTGGGCACCCTGACAGCTGCCCCACCGGAGCCGTCCTGGGGCGGGTGCGCTGAGACCCGGGCCCTGCCCGGGACCTTGCTGCCACCTCTCCAGACTCTGCTGCCGAGAAGCGCAGGGCGGCGGGGCTGCGGCCCTGCCTGAGACTGGACCCTTCCTCTGCTTCTTCCTCGGGCTCCACGAGCCTCCCTGCCTCTCACGACAGATGTGTTGTTCCTTTGCTCCACCTCGAGCTCCTCCACCTTCTCGGAAACTCTGACCCACAGCTCCCGGTGCACATGCGCTTCACGGACAGTTTCCGTCTCCTGTGACCACAGGACTGCTGACCGTCTTCCTCACTCGTTCTTGCCACTTGTCTCGAGAACGTTGCTGGGTCCTGCACGGACCTGTCCTGCTGACTGACAGGTGAAGAAACGCTCACCAGCCGCTGGGCGCTTCCTTCCCAGGCAGGGCTCTGGGGCCCCTGTGTCCCGTGGCGGCCCAGAGCAGTGTGGCCTACTCAGGCACGGGACCAGAGCAAACGGGTCCCTGCGGGGCAATGCGCAAGCCTCCAGAATTCTGATGGACTCTAAGATGAAGAAAGGGAACCCCAAATAAATGGATTATAAACCTCTGTGGGACGTGCGGCTTGAAACAGATACACGTGAATTAATAGGAAAATAGTTATATTTCTTGTACACCTTAGTTTGTGGGTGTACTGCAACAGAAATAAGGGATTCTGTAACACTTTAGGTTAAGCACTATGAGATGTACATTATTTGACCATATCCACTCAGTTCAAAATCTAACTTATCAGTCGCATAATAATTTCACTAGGTAACCCACAAGATATCAAGATTACATTTTTCTGTATCGATCCAATTTTTTACATATCATTTTATGTTAAAATAAGGATTAGAGAGGTGTGTTCGAATGGCTACTTTGTAAGCCATTCCATAAAATGTTCTCCAGGTACAGGAGTAAACGCATAAGCCTGACAACGTCAGTCACGCCGGTTAGGGTTTCTGGAAACACAAGTCTAGATGTCATCCGGTCAAAAGACAACCAACCAAGAAGCTGGTCAAATGGAATCAAGACACAAACCAGCCTTTTCTTTTCCTGGCACCAGCTGAGCCTTGTGCGGAGAGGTGGCTGGTCTTCCCTGTGACTCTTCCGGTCGCTGGGTCACTGTCAGCTGCGGCCCCAGAGCCTGCGGGGACGTCGGTCCCTGTGGCCCCTCCGTGCCGGCTGTCCAGCTGAGACAGCATGTGGGCCACAGAAGTGCTGTTCCAGCAGCCCATCGAAAAAGTAAAAAGAAAAAGGTGAAATTAACTTTAATCATGTATTTTATTTAACCCAATACATAAAAATATTTCAATGTGTATTCAATATGAAAGATTAATGACATCTCAGTATACCAAGCCTCCAAAGGCTGGTGCATGTGCGTGTACGTGTGTGTGCACGTGTGTCCCGCACTCACGCCCATGTTCAGACCAGCCATATCTCAGCATCTGGGTGTACTGAGCAGTGCAGCTCCAGGTAATTACAAATTAGTTACATTGCTCAAGGAAACAAAGTATGTAACTTCTGGGATTTCATCCTTCTGAAGAGATACGCTGATCTGCTTCTACACCAACCTCCACAGATAACTCCAAAAACGGAATTCATACAAACCTGACTATAATCCTATTTCATAAATTTCCATGCTACCAGATGCCCGGCCTCCCCTGTGCACATGAAGGACACTGTCTTTGTTTCTTTACACACATCTTATCTCCAATTTCCTTCTTAAAATAAAAACGTGCTGAAATCATACTTCCATTTTCAAGAATTTATTCATTTTTGAAATTCATTTTTGTACTAAAGATTGTTTTTTAATACATTTTCATCAAGTAATGAGCATCCGCAAAAGCAAGAGCCCGCTTCCTGACACTCACCGTGCACACGTGGTAAAGTTCTGTGATCTCTGCGAATTTAGTAAGTGAAAAATGGTATTTTGGTGCAGTTTTGACTGGTGTGTTCCCTTTTATGGATTTAGTTTGTTTTCTGTGTACTGTGTTTATAGTATATATTCTCTTATATATTCTTGTCAAATTTTCTTTCAGTACAGTTGCATCAATTCACAAAGCACTATATCATGCTACCCCTTTACCAGATCCCCCTCTCTGTGAGACTGAGCTCTCCGTGGGTGTCCGGGGCAGTCATGGCCAGCTCCGAGCACCACTCTGAGTACTCACCCCTTGGGGAAGCCCCCACTGTCCCATAGCAGTGCAGAACCTGGGGGGCAGACTTCGGTTTGTCACGGTCCCTACAGCCCCTCCACAGGTGATGACCTGGTCTATGTGGTGAGCCGGGCTCAGGCCTGGCCCACTGGTGAGGGCGTGTGAGGAGGTCAGAGCCCTGCTGTGCGCGGTTGCCTCGGCGGGAGGGGTAGGCTCGAGCGCCAGTGGGCTGAGTGCAGCCCAGGAGTCGCAGGTGGGAAAGGTGCAGAGTGGGGTGGGCCTCCCAGCGACACCTCCTTTTCCATACGATAAACTTCCAGGCGTTTGACAAATCACACGTGGTTTGTTTTACAGAAAGGCACTGCTTAATGGAAGTTGTCTTTAGCTGAAAGAACAAACTCGTCCAGCTAACCCACGAGAGCCCTGCTGACCCCGCACCTCCGGACCCGAGTGAGAAGTGAGGCGCAGGCACCCAGCCTAGGGAACCGTCTTCTGGTAAAAGCTGACTAAACTACATGGCTCTCTGAAATGTGAAATATCTGCTCAGCAGTAACTAGCCTCTAAGCCAAGGTGAGAGGCAGGGGTTGGATGTGGAAAATACCACAGAGAGGGTCACAACTACATCAAGCTCTCCTGCACATCAGTCACTAAGGAAACCCACCCCACACACGGAGAAGTAACTCGCCGAGGGCCGACCCTCACCGAGCAGGGGAGCGACCAGTCTCACAAGTGACCGGGAGCCGCACGGAGAGGACGACATGCACCCTCAGCTCACAAAGCAACAGAAGTAGAAGACGGATTCCGCGCGGTGCTCAGAGTTCATGACAAGGACAGGGCAGCCCTGAAACACCGTTGCTGACGGGGGGGAGACCCGCACGGCCATCTGCACTCTCAGACCCCACGGCTCCTCCCCGGACATGTGCCGACAGGCACAGCACAGAGCGGAGCGGCCTGGGCTGCCTAAGTGACAGTGCGCGTGCGTCCCCATGGACAGGTGGGGGTGGGAGACAGGACCGAGGGTCTGTCCCTGAACGTGCGGTCCAGCGCAGGAGCAGAGGTTGGGCCCCACACGCGCCCGGTGCGCTGATGTCTGGCAAGAGCTTCCTGTGGCCACACCACCCACTCCCGAGGACACAGCGAGCACATGGATGGCAGTGAGGCTGTTCCCAAAGTGCCAGAGTCACTGCCGGCTGCTCAAACCAGTCGTGCCGCTGAGGGAGCAAATCCCACTGAGGTGCAGACAGGTGCGTGGTGGGCCCTTTGACAAAAGCCACGTGAATGAGATTCAGTGACTGAGAAAGTATCCTCGTCTGTGGCTGGACCCCATCTGCCATGACGCCCTGAAGCGCACATTCTATTTAACTCAACACACGTTTATCAAGCGGTTACTGCATCAAGTACTGGACAAAGAAGGGTGCACACTTACCCACCGATCACAGTTCATGACTCCAAGGTCATGGAGAAGGATGAACTGGCTTTGCTTCCACCGGCAGAGACCTACTGCATGCCTCTCACACGTGTCTTCCCGGGGCTGTAAGTCCCAGGGCCTGAACCTTCCCTTCCCTTCCCTTTGTTTTCAGTGTCTACAGTATCACTGTCTGATTACAGCAGAGGCTACATAAATATTCCATTAATTAAATGAATTAAAGAATGAATGAGCCCTGGCCGGCTCACGGACCAGTCGAGGGTTTAATTCTGGTCAAGGACACGTACCCTGTTGCAGTTCATCTCTGGCCCTGACTGGGGTCATGCAGGAGGCAACCAGTTGATGGATGTGTCTCTCTCACGTAGATGTTTCTCTCTCCCTCCCTTTCTTCCTCTCTCCTCCTCCCACTCTATCTGAACAAAAATATCCTCGGTAAGGATTGGAAAAAAAGAATGAAGCCTAAGTGAATGGGGTCTCTCCTCCAGCTGTTTGGCTGTCCCTAGGACGTACCTCACAAACTGTAATCTTCACTTATTTCTGTTTCCTCTCTTCCCCTTAGGAGAGAATGGTCCGAGTCTGGTCTACTTCGCCAGTATCTCCTGTGTCCAAGGAGTGCTGACCTCGCCTCAAACACTGCCAGGGGAGTTTGAAATTTCACTTGATAACCTCTCCAGTCACCCTAAGACTGTCCTGAGATCAACTGGATTCTTGAAATAAATTTACTTGGGATCATTCTGGGTCAGCTGGAGCACATTTAGCCGTGACCCTCACACCAGTGTTCAGTGCCGATAGCCAGGCCTTTCTCTCCGCCATCAGGGTGCCTGCTGGCTCTCCTTCACAGACGAGCGAGTCGCCAGGATACCTATTTTTGGTAGTAAAGCTGCTGTCACCCCCAACAAGAGAGGTAGCCAAGCCCCTCAGAGCTCTGACTGCAGGCTCCCAGCTGCACAAAAGGGGCACCAGCTGAGCCCCCCCCCGCCCGGGACAGAGCTGGAGGGACCAGTGAGGAGCCTGAGGAACGAGCCTCCAGGCTGCCCCGGGCCCTCTCCTGACCTGTGAGGCTGAGCCGCAGTCTGGAAAGGCCAGTTGCTCCAGCCTGGGAGTCCCCGAATGAAATGACAGACCTCGGTCACACTGCTGATTCCTAGACCTCCCCGCATTCACGGCACTGGGTGCCTTTGTTTTTGTCTTGCTTTGTGGAACACAAACTCAGTACTCTGTTCATGGGACCTGAGCCAGCAGAGTGCAGTGACAGAATAAAGACCACACGTGTGTCTCTGCAAGTCGACCTGCAAAGACACCGGGGACACGAGGAATGGGAAGGGCAAGCTACAAAATAACAAGTACAGTGAAAGTCTAGCATTTTCCTAAACTGTATTTATGCAGTAGTGGTTTGCCTGCACATCTCTGTTTCAGTGGTATTAAGAAAAAACAAAATTCACAATAATGTTCAAAACATTTATTTACTAAATCACTTTGAGGTTGATTTAGGTAAGATAATTTCAACAAATAAAGTGTTTAATGTGAAACTGTGATATACAATGTACTTGTCTCTATGAAAAAAAACTTATTTACAAGTTCTATGGAAGAAAACATTAATTATGCACCATCAGCATAATAAAAATGGAATAGCGCAGGCATCCAGTGAAATCTGAAGGTGAACCAAACTTTTTTCACTCATATTCAGAAAATCTAATATGCATACTTGCTTGTTGAGTCTTTTCGAGTCTAATCTTCTCAGCTTTGGTGATTAACTACAGAAAAATAAATCAGAAATTAGGATGTACTGGTTACCTGAAAACAAAAAGATAATTATGACTAAAAAATGTTCACACCTATCAGCTTGAATAAAATTTTTCAAAAAAGGGAGAGGAAGACAATGAGATAATTAGGCTAAGGTCAAATCAATTACAGACAACTATCTTGGTTATGGTTTACTAAGTATAACAGGTACTAAATTCTAATTATCCAAAACCCTCCCACTACAGCTCCAGGTCACTAAGTATGTTTTGACGTGAAGCAGCCGCACTCTGCGCAGGCGATACTGCTGCTGTCGGGAGGGCCACGGCCACACCTGCTGGCTGCTGCCCATCCCCTGGGCTAGAGCACACAGCACGAGACTCCTCACATGCTGCGTGGTCAGGAACCACACTGCGCCATCGCTGGAATGAGACGGTGTGCTTCAGGCGGAGTGCTACACGAAGGTTTCCCTACAGATGTGAAAATCAAAGTATCTCACACAGGGCCTGGCTGGGGGCTCAGGTAATGGAGCACAGCCCATCTGCTGGCTGACAAAATAAACACGTCTACCCCTCTCCTCTAAAAAGCCTGGACAGCAACTACTTTGGTGGCTCCTTTTTCATTTCAGGACCTGAGCCAAGAGGCTTTGAGAACACGCTCGAGGTACAGCAGGGAGGGTAGCTGGGAGTGACCTGCTGCAGCTCACTGCAGGGCCGCTCACTGGGCTCTGAGCGACCTACAAACCCCCACAGTCCTTGTTTACTTCCCTGCCTCAACTCTATAAAAATGGGATCTTTCTGAAAAACAAAAGGACTGATTCCTAGTTTTATAGATGTAAAATTACACACCAATTAAAACAGAAACATTATTTAACAAAGTGATTTCATTTCGGTGCTGAGTTCTGATGAATGACTTTAACATTTAAATAACCTCAAGCAGGCTTTCAAATGAACACCTCACAGACCTAGAGTCCTTAGGAAGGAGGCCTCCCCAACTGAGCAAATGTCGCATTCAGGGAAACAGAACTAACAAAGACCAGTAGGAAACCTCCCCACAAATCACCCAAATTCCAGTGGAGGCAGGTGATGCAAGGCTGACGAAAAACACTTGATTTTTAAGTTTAAGAAAAAAATAATTGTATAAATACAAATCCACACCGTCAAACACAGAATACAGAAAGTATAACTTAAGTGTTAACCAATGATAAGAGAATGTACATCTTTACAGAATTTTCTTCTTTTATAATGATTAAACTCAGACAGCAGTGACTTAGTCATCACCTGCCCTATTTTGTTCTGAGCACGGTAGCCTGCACTGACTTTTACATGCGTAATAATTTGTTTAAAACTATTAAGCTTGGCATCTCACTAAAAACAATAATGATTTAATAAATTACTCAGTGTCATTTAAAATAAAATTATTAAAAGAGAAGCTAGCTTGCTTTAAATTATTTAATGCATTTAAACTCGTTGACTATTCTAGAGAAAAAGTACTAAAGCTTATCACTGTTTAGGGAACATTAAGCATCAAGTCTCTCAATCTTATCTCTGGAAGCTCAAATCCTTAAAAACACACACACTCTAAACACATTGTGTTTTCACCCTTAGATAATGTTTAAATAATGGTTCACCACCCAGCTGAACAGAGACCAGGACTGCTGCAGGTCACAGCACAAAGAGGAAAGGGGACTGACAAGCCAACTCTGCGCATTCAAGGCCTAGAGACAAGCACGCCCTCGATCCCAAGCGCAGCACGCACGCACACACACACACGCCCGTCAGGCACAGCCCAGCGAAAACACTGCCTTCTGAGGACGACACATCACCTTCGGAAGAAGTCAGCCTCCGAAAATAGTTTATGTTACCAAAAAAGAAAACCCCCTCACAAAAAATCAGTCAGCAAAACTAAACAAAATCGACTGGTCACCTTCTCGGTGCCCCTCTTCTTCTCGCGAGGCTGGTTCAGCTTGGCCTGCCTGTCCACCAGGATCTTCTGCCAGTACCTCTGCTCGTGGTCACCTGAAACAAGACACGCAGAACTGAGCCGTTGTCAGTGCACCTAACGTTGCTGCGTGCATCTGAGAGCAAACACTAGCTCCACTAGCCAGACTCAGAGAAGAGCACAATCACCCACGACACAGCTCTTCAAGGAAGATCCCATGAAGTTTACCAGAGAGAATCTCGAGCTCCCAGCTGTGCTTCTTTCTGATGTCTGCCTGTGCGCTCATCACGGCGTGAGCGCCCTCGGGGGACTTGAACCTCACGTGGCATTCGGTGTCTCCTTCCAGCAGGTCGACGTACACAACGTCTGAGATGGCGGCCAGCGTGTCCTGCAGCCATGCAGAGAGGCGTGACAGAGACAAAGATGTCTCGTGACAATGCTACGAGTTTCCCAACGGGCATGTCAGAATGTGTTACGCCATATGAAGCCTAAGATGAGAACTACCCTACATTAACCATTTCCTCTAAAATACATATAAATGCTCTCAAAATACGGACATGGACACCAACTCGAATAAGTTTCTTTTGTTCAGCAACATCCTGAATATCTCGCCAGAATGCAAACGTTGCCAAGGACAACGGGTTCATGCAGTAGAAAGCACGAGATCCCGGCTCCCACCCCAGCCAGTAAGAGCGCCAAGGCACAGAGTTAAAGACAAAATAAAAGCTCACAATGGATTGAGGAAGAAGGTGTGTTTCTCTTTACCTGGACACTTATGACTTAAAATATACGGGAAAAACATTCCACTTTTTATAATAACTCATGCAAAAAAAAAAAAGTTTAAGTGAACCTACAAAAATTCTAGGTCCTGAGTGGATCTTCAAAAAAATACCTCAAGAACTCTTACTTTCTGACAAAATACGTAAGCACCCTCTCCTACACAAAGGGTGGTCACCGGAACCAAGGAGGGTTTCCTCCGGAGCCTGCTGTGAGGGCAGATGACCCCATCCCTGCAGCCGGAATCTTTCCTCACAGCAGGTTCCAGTCAACACAATGCGATTATGCAGGAATGTTCCTCTAAGTCTTCATCTATCCACCTCAATTCAAAAGCTAAAGTAACTGAAGATTCGTAACTCTCCCCAAGAAAGAGGGGCCTTACCCATCTTGTCCCCTTGAGTTTTGACCCAAAATTTCAAGCCACAACTAATTTAGATAACTTTCAGATGTTGGATTTTAAAAGTCTGAGTTACAGACGTGGCTGAGAAACACCTGGAAACACTGTTTCAGCCTAAGAAGGTTTTCAGGCCGCACTGCAGGTGAGTGTGTGGAGCCAGGTCTGTACAGGCCAGGGACCGGCCCTGACCCAGCCCTCACCTCCCTGCCTACCACAGGGGAGGCACTTACATATCTGCCAGTTCGATGGAGAAAACAAAGAAAGAAGAGAGAGAACAAGTATACTAGTCAATTCTTCCCATTTCTCTCTTTTTAAATCAGTGTCTATTTTTTGTTGTTGTTAACCCTCACCTGAGGTATTTTTCCACTGATTTTTAGACAGAGTGGAAGGGAGGAAGGGAGAGAGAAACATCGATGTGAGAGAGACACATCTATTGGTTGCCTCCCGCGAGACCCCAGTTAGGGGTCTTGCAACCGAAGTACTAACCCTTGACCGGGAATCAAAAGCGTGACCCTTAGTCCTCAGGACTATCTACACTCTAACCACTGAGTCAAAATGGCCAGGGCCCCGTTTCATTATCTAGTTAAGAGAACTTAATTCAGACACTAAACAAAACAAAACCAAAAATGTTTCAAGTTGAAAAAAATTTGTTCACTAGTAGTATAGCTGCTTAATTGATTTCCGTGACTGCTTAATAGCCATTAATGTCAGGGTAATCTGGGGACTGCAAACCCTTCTTGGAATGACAATGGGCCTGGCAATCACGCTGGGCAAGTCCAAACAGCAGTCCCCACCCTCACAGTTCAGGCTTGTTCCAGCAGACTGTCAGTCATTCCCAACACACTTTGAGTAAATTTTCTACTAAATCTTCTGCAATCTAACCAACCACAGCAGATTCACATCCTCAATTTCATCTCTCGTGCAATTCTGCATTGTGGCAGCACTCTGCAGGCTGGGACTATCGATTTGGGACCGAGCAAGCCTCTCATCAACATCCCAGGGAGTGACAGCTGCGGAACTCGGAACTTCAAGGCAAGTTTCAGAGAAGAGCGCTCACAGGGGACCACAGCGAGCAGCCTCAATGGTTATGCAAGTTAGCACGTGACTGGTGTGAAGGGCAAACCCAACCAACACACTACATGGGGCTGACGTCAGGAGAGCCAGGGTAAGTCACTGGCTGTTGCAGAGTACTTCACAGGGTTTAAAAGGACATCTTCTCACCCACTTGGGCGCCGCCTCACAGGACACAGGGAGAGGTGTGCCCTGTGCTGGCGCAACAGGCTGCACGCGGCTCCCGGAGCGAAAGCGGCTGTCCCACGGGACGGCGATGTAAATCGTGCAGAGCTCTGGAGATGTGTGCACACGCACACACAACGTTGGTAATTTTTCAAAATACTTGACACTCTTATGTAATTGCTTCAAATTTTTTAAACAACCAGCATGGATTGAAAATACTAAAAAAAAAAAAAAAATTACACATAAAATTAAGAGGCTGTTTTCTCCAAAACACTCTGCATTTCTTTCAGGAAAAAATTTCAATTCTCAAGATTCAATAACACTAAAATAAACTAAATCCATGCTAAGAAAAAATATACATATTACCTCTTTTATTCCAAGATAGTTTTGACTTTAGGTCAAAAACCTTTCAGGAATTTATTGAAAGAAAGCTAAGCAGCACGACAATGAAAACAAATCAAAGTGTCCAGTTTGCTCCCAAACCTGACCACAGCAGATGGTTATGGTTTTAAACTAATTTCAGACCAACGCTAATATTGTTAAACCTTCAAACATTTTTGTGACTGTTTTTCTAAAATCCTTGTCTCTGAAAACAAAGCCTGGTGGAAGTGAGCCGGGAAGCACTGGGCGCGCCCACCCTCCGGCCGAGGGCAGGGTGGTTTCTCAGCCCGCCGCGGCAGGCAGCTCCGCAGAGCAGCCGGGGTCTCCCGCAGCAGGGTGCTCAGTGTGACCCATGAGTCAGTCAGTCTTCAGGTTCAGCTTCAAGTCAAGTCTGAGTCGCTGAGGACAGGCCCTGGAAGTGCCTTCACCAGGAGCCAGTCCTCACTGGGTCTGCCCTGTCTCCCACGTTCCAATCTCACCGCCAGCCTTTAAGAGAAGGCAGGGACAGTGAGCTGGGGACCCCAGGCCTCACCTTGACTACCTTCCTGCCAGGCAGGGGCTCGGGGCCGAGGATCTTCACAATCACACCGCTCACGAACTGCGGCCCTGGTGCCTGAGCCTTCTCCTGGGGGCAGCGGGCCTCCCCGTTGGCTGTGGATGGAGCAGAAAGACCAGCAGCAGCTCTCACACCCGATCACTCAGCACTCAGGATGCCCCCCTCTAGAACAGCACGGCCATTCCTTAGGCTGCTTTACATCATTAATTAACTTAACTTAAAACTTAATTGTAACATAATTTATGTAATTAAGACAATTACTTTGTTGTAAATCCTTGGGGTTCAGAACACACTCCCAGACCAAGTCACACTGCTCATTGCAGAGTATCATGAATCAAATGCAAAACCTTTTATTACTGTAAATGCAAACTGTTCCTTTCACAGGAACATTTGTAAACGCCCCCCCATGGCCCCCAAATTCCCATCTTCCCTGAACCAAATAACAAAAAGTACTTAATTAAGTAGAGAAATAAACAGATATAAAATATAATAATTCAGATGTGAAAATTTATTTTCATTTTAAGAATTTAAAACATATCCTAGTATTAAAGATTTCAAAAGAATCTTGCTTTTTGTTGTTTCTGCTTGTGGTTAATACTGTGGAATGAAATTACAGTTTTTGTTTATACAAACAATCAAATCATAAAGTAGGCACTCATTCATAAATCTGACTAATAATGAGAACTAGAGAAAATTTAAATAACTGATTTGAAAAGACACTGTTTAAATGAGCCCTTTGAATGTTCCTATCTCAAGAATAAGTCACACATCTGGACAACTTGCCAAGTCAACAATTTTTCTAATGACTACTGTAAAATTAAGTTTCTAAATATTAAAGTTTATACTGTAACAACTCAAATAGTATTTCAGCATGTAAGTACAATATAATGTTACAGAAACTCTCATCGCTGTTTACCTTTTTCATTTTTCATCCCAGACTTGTTAGTTACTCCATGGTCTATTTCCATCTCTGACTCCGATTTTATTTGGGATATTGTTTTTTTTAATGACGCCATACTGGCTTTTTGCAGCGCTAAATACTCTTTTTTCAAATCCATCCACTCGCTCCTGCAGTGAAAAAATTTATACATTAGGACAACAGATGACTAAGTACATACACTCACAGGGACTGGAGTCCAAATCACCCAGCGAACAGGCAAAGGGAAGCTTGCCCCGCCCCAGAATCCAGATGGAAAGTTTTTAAATTGCCAGTTCACTTCTTTCATTATTTGAACTCTTAGAAATAAAAGTTTAGAATTAATTAACGGGTAACATTTACTAAAACAGTCATCTCTAGGGGGGGTCAGATCGAAATGTAAAGATTACTGGTTAAACTGCTTCCAGTTTCAGAGATAACATTCCTTAGTCTTTACTTGAATGAAAAGGAATTTCTAAGAGGCAAAAAAAAAACCACCCCCTGGAAGCAACTTATTTACATGCATTTAACATGTAGATGCTTCTTCAAACAGCTTGAGCTTCTCCAGAGAAAAACACAATGGCCCTCCTGGCTCCTTGGAGAGCTCATTGTTAACTCTAATCTACGCCATCAAACAAGCAGATAGGAGAGTTTTTAAGAAGGAGATCTTCTGGTAATGGTTTTAGCTGCTAACTGACATCTGTATACTTCAAAAAAAAAAAAAAAAAATCCAGACCCACCCAGGATCATACCTTCCCGAGCTGAACATTAGAATAACAAAAGGCTCGCAAAGATTCTCTGAGATAAAAGGCAGAAGGAATCCCACGTGAAGAACCCTATAAATACAGGGCCCGAAGCACTTGCCCTTTAACCTTCCCCAGGAGGACAGGGTCTGGGGAGCGGCAGTCCGGGAGACTGAGGACGTCCAGCTGAGAGGTATGCGCTTGCTTTCCCCGCCTGCGCCCACTCCAGGTGCCGGGCCCCCTTCCACTCTAACATGGAAACGCTTTCTGTGCCTCGAGTAGTAAGTGCTTCCATGTTTTAGTAGAAGTGAGTCCCAATAACCCTCCAGATGCCAAACTCACTTGTTTCCAGAGGCTACGGGGACCCCCTTTGCTTTAACATGGGGGTACCTGCTGTGTAAAACAAAAGTAAGTGCTTCCATGTTTCAGTGGAGGTGTCTCCAAACCCACACTTCCTTTCGTCTTTTTGTTTTCGATACTTACTTCACAGGTTAAAGCCAAGCCGGATTGCAGCGTTTTCGAAGACTAGGCTCCCCACCACTTAAACGTGGACGTACTTGCTTTGGAACTAAGAAAGTAAGTGCTTCCATGTTTTAGTGATGGTAAGTCTTGCTTTGCATTTTCACAAGCGCATAAGCCTGACCTGCCTCCGAGGTGTCTTTCAGCTGAACTTTTCAATCTGCTGAGAACACCCACTACTTTAACATGGAGGCATTTGCTTGACAGATGGAAATAAGTGCTTCCATGTTTTAGTGTGGTTGTTGCTTTCTAACCCTCCCTGCTGCGCGCAGACGGGGCTGCGGCCCATCACTGTTGCTAATATGCAACTCTGTTACCACGAACTGGAATTGCACTTCAGCAATGGTGATGGGCTGGGCTGACTGCCGCGAGCCACTTACTTGGACAGGACCCGTAGAGGGATAACCTCTTCTCCCATTTTGTGCCTCTCCTTGTGTTTCTTCTTATGCTTCCTTTTCGCTTTTAAGAGTGATCCGTCTTTCGTATCTCCTGTCTCCTTTTCCTCTTCAGTGGAGACTTCTAGATCTTTATGAAAAAAGACAGATCAAGAAATACAGAAAGTTTTATTGATCCAGTCCTAACCCTAAAGCTACAAATACCTTTGTTTTCTTTGGACACTTCTGAGGCTTTTTTCAGGTTGTCCTTCTGGGCTGTTTTCCTGACTTTGGGCCTGGGAGCCGGGCACCCTGCATCCTCAGAGCTGCTCCGCTTCCTCTTCTCTGCTCGCACCACAGGTAAGCCGGTCGCTTCAGCTCGAACCCGCTTTTTCTTTTTCTTCGAGGGTGGCTTTTGGGGTTCGGTGCCCTCCCCTTCGGAGCCCTCGGACATGGCCCTGGGCCCCTTCGCTTCATGGACGCTGCTCTCCTTGCCTGCGTCCACACTCGCCTCCTGTGCGGGGGCACTGTCCTCCTTCTTCACCCGGGCTTTCTTCTTCTTCTTCTTCTTCTTCTCTTCTGTAACAACGCTAGGTCATCGTTCACTTTACCGGAACCACACCCACTTAAAATGTCTATTAATAACTTACCAGCTGCTCCTAAGGCAGGAATGGGCTTATTTTTCACTGTTTTAGGAAATACCCCAGGTTTCCTTGGTGCTTCTTCTGGTGGGTTGTTAAGAAACTGAAATGAAATCAGCAAAATATTTTTTGCTCCCAATTAAACACTTGATATGTTTCTTTTTTTAATTTTAGGTCCTGGACCTACCTCAATAGCTTTTGCTGCTTGTTCTTTTGTCTCAAACTCCACGAAGGCGAAGCCCTTTGGGTCTCCAGTGGACTTGTAGTGGGGTATGCTCACATAAACAACGTTGCCACACTTCCCAAACACTCTTTCAATCCAGCTGTGATTCACATTTTTGGGAAGTAACTCCTAAGATAAATTAGAAGCAATATTAATTATGTAAGTATTAAGCAAGGCCAATAAATTTTTACTTGAGTGTTAAAATGTTTCATTCTTTGCGGGGCGGTGAGCGCCTACAGGACAGTCTTACCACATACACGGTCCGGTCATCTTCGTCCTTTGGCCTTTCACCCAGAGGCTTCTTCCTTCTGACCCTGGTGCCTTCTAAATCCAGCTTGAAAAGCACACAGAAGGTTAATATCCTAGTATAATTGTGATATAAAAATAATGCAATATGAAATATTTCTTACCTCTACAACAGCTGAACTTTTCAGTGCTCTGGCTATTAACTTTTCATCAGTGGTCAATTTTTTCATTTTGTTAAAAGACACCAGAAGTGATATATCAACATCTAATAAAAATGTAAAAGTAAATACACATTTTTAATTGGCTGCTGGAGCGGTCATGGCTGAAAATCCCTGTCCCACTGGAATTCTAAACTTAAATTTCACACTTTAGTTTTTAGAATTTGTGCTACCTAAACCTTCTCGGGACAAGCTCTAATGCTCATCCACTCTCACCTCTGAACACACATGTTTATTACTCAATTATTTCTAGAGTTCTAGTAAGTCCTTGACCCTAATGGTAAATAGTGTCATAAGCTTCATTCTTAAAAAAACTGCATTGGGGTGACACTAGTTAACAATTACAGGTTCCTGCTCTGGCCGGTTTTCTCAGTGGTTAGAGCCTTGGCCTGAGGTCCATAGAGACCCGGGTTCAGTTCCCACTAAGGGCACGTGCCTTGGTTGCAGTTTGTCCCTGGCCCCAGTTGGGGTAGTGCAGGAGGCAGGCACTGTGTCCCTTTCACGTTGATGTTTCTCTCCCTCTTCTCTCCCTCCCTCCCTCCCTATCTGAACAAAAATGGAAAAATGTCCTCTGGTGAGGATAAAAAAACAAAACAAAAAACAGTTACAGGTTCCTGGTACACGTCTGTAGACTACATTGTGTGTTCACTGCCCCAGGTCTTGTCTCTGTCCATCACCTCTTGTTTATCACCCCCCATACCCTGCACCTCCCTGCTTCCTCTCCCACCTCCATCAACACTGTTGGCCCCAAGCTGGCAGGCCCAGCTGCACAGGAGAGCCAGCCCACCCACAGTGAAGGGAACTCACATCCATCCCTGGACTTCTCTATCTGCTCCCGGAGGAACCGGTCCTTGTGAAGGTTCGCATCTCCGAACCAGAAGTCTACTTGCTTAGTGATGTCTGCAAGCACCTGTTTAACTCGAGACCGCTTCTTTTTCTCTACTTCTTTTTTATTTGCAGTATTTTCCTCTTCCATTGCCTTTTCTTGTTTTCCTCTTTCAGTTTCCATTCCTGTAAATTAAAGAGGTTCGTTTCTCCTTTTTCCCCCATTGACACCCTCCAACTCCCATCCTGCCCTCCTTCACAGTATTGTCTAGGTCCGTTGGTTATGCATATATGAAAACATGTTCTTTGGTTTATCCCCCCAGCCCCCAGGTTTGTCAGTATGATCTTTTTTCTATGTCTGAGTCTATTTTATTCATCAGCTTATTTTGATCAGTCTTGTCTGAAGGACTAGTGGATTAAAGTTTGGCTGCCCGGAGAACCCCAGAGAAACACTTCCAGACATTTCTAACAATCAGCTGAGGAAACCTTCAGTGGCCTATGGATCATTTAAAAAATTTTAGCTTTTTTCATTCGCTTTTTTGGGGGGTGGGGTGTGGGGGGGGGGGTCCCACGCCCACAGGCCTGGAATTGAACCAGGACCTCTCAGTCCATGGGATGATACCCAATCCACTGAGCCACACTGGCTGGGCCTGTTGGCCTTTTTAAAATTAAAACATTTAGCCCTGGCTGGTTTGGCTCAGTGGTTAGAGCGACGACCTGTGGTCCGGAGAGGCCCAGGTTCAGTTCCCGCTAAGGGCATGTACCTCGGTTGCAGTTTGTCCCCGGCCCTGGTTGGGTCCTGTGGGTGGCAACCACTCGATGTGTCCCTTTCACGTCGATGTTTCTCTCTCTCTCTTCCTCTCTCTCCCTCCCGCTCTATCTGAATAAAAAAAGGAAAAATGTCCTTGAGTGAGGATAAAAAAATTAAATTAAATTAAATTAAAACATTTAGAATATCCTGTCTTATACAGTACAGATCACAGCTTTAGTTTTTAGGCCTTTTGAACTGCAGGGCCAGGTTACCACCACACTACACTTTTAAGTCTGTAAATCAAAGTTTGAGATTAAGGAACTTCATCTCAACAGATTTCAAAAAAGTTAGATGCATTTTTAAATTCTACAACCTCTATGAGCTGATTTTTTTTTTTAATCCTCACCCCCCCAAGAACATTTTTGCATTCATCTTCAGGTAGAGCGTGAGGGAGAAAAGGAGGAAGAGAGAACCAACAATGTCAGAAAGACACATCAAGTGGTTGCCACCCACACAACCCCATCTGGGGCCGGGGACAAACCACAACAGAGGCACAAGCCCTTAGCAGGAACCGAACCTGGGTGTCTCTGGTCCGTGGGCCAACCCTCTAACCACTGAGCCAAACTGGCCAGGGCACTGTAAGTAGAATTTAACAGGTGAGCTTAGAATCAGCCCTTTTCAGGTGGCCATCTATTCCAGTATTTTTCTTGGGCACCAATTCCAAACCCCCTCCTTTCAAGTTATTCTGAATGTCTCCGTTGCTCCCTGGGCTCCAGAAATACTGGCCCTCTGGCTGCTCCTAGGCTCTGAACACTACCCCTAGGTAACATGGCTTGTTCCTTCACTTGCTGGTCTTATTCAAGTGTCATTTCAGTGAGGTCTCCTCCCACAATTACATTTAAAACCGCAAATTTCTGGACAGTTTCTGTCTCCCCATTGCATATGTCACTTCTAGTATTGCAGTACAATTTACTTATTTACTCTGTGCTCTTTGTAGAGTGCAGGGTGGAGGAAGTCAGTGGTTTTTGTATTTTTTATTGATGTATCCATCCCATCCCTAGACCGTAGGAGTCACCTAAACATCTGTTGAAGGAATTGTCATCTTAATGAAATCATCAGAGGTACATACACAAAAATGAATACACGCGCAAAGGCTTACCATTGGGCCTGGGATGATGCAGGCCTGCCCGAGAGTAAGTTCAGCCTCACTTAAGATGGTTTCCTTGGGAAGGACATTTAAGACACATGGGGAAAGTTGTATCTGTCTTGTCGGCCCTATTAGCTGGCACGCAGGCCTTGGGCCTACATGACCAGAACAACATAAGAGATTGGAGGGCAAAGGGGGCTAAAGCTTTCACGTACCAGGGTAACCTCAAACACTGGCCTAGCTGTGGCGGGTAAGGGGCCATGGATGTGGGTCGAGGGCTGGATCTGGGGAAGTGCTGGGCAGGCCTCAGAAGACAGGAAAATGCTGCCCTGTGTCTGCTGCCTCCTGTGTCCTGTCAAGCTCACTAAACAACGCCGGGTGAAACCATCTGCGCTGAGTCTCAGCAGGGCAGAGCCCTGCACTGCTCTCACGTCAACACAAGAGAGCTCGGCATTTTGAGAGCAGGCTGCAGTTCATCAGCCAAGTGTGAATTTTAAAACCACACAGGTAAGGAAGTATTAATTTACACGATGCTAGCATGACACATAAACAGAGCTCTAGGTCAGACTAGTCGTCAGAAAGCAGTCAGGTGTCCTTAGTGCCACAGACACATCCCTCACCTGATCCTCTCAACCTGAGCCCATCCACCGGGATCCCTCCCACCATTAGCTTAGCTTCTGAGGTGAGAACGCCCTTGGGGACACATTCTTCCTGTAGCTTGCAGAGGGTTTTCCTCTTCTGGCCCCTCCCGCTCTGCTTCACCATTCTGTGCTGCTTAGCACTTGGTTCAGTCCTGAGCTCCCTTCTGATCCACACACATCCTTTCAGAGGGTCTCAGCTGGAAGCCGCTTCTCTACGTTGACAGCTCATGAATCTAAATTCCCCGGCCCCTACTTCTCCCCTTTCTATTATTCAACTGTCTACGTGGACATCTCAACTTGTTCATCTTAACTGTTACCTCAAGTTTAAAATGGGGAAAAACTAACCTATCAAATTTTAACTTATTTTGTCTAGTTTTCCACATCTCAGAAAACACCAATCACAAAACTGCAGAGAGGGTAAAGCTCTTGGATTGCCCTAGTTCTTTTCTTCACACCAAACAGACAGTTCATCAGCACTGCAACCACCCAGTCCAGGCCAGCACTGCTCCACCTGAACTACAGCAGGGGCACCTAACAAAGGCCTGCTGCTGCCTAGTCCAATAGCATCGATTTGCCAGATGCAGCCAGGGTCAACACTGCAGGGCACATCGACCTCTTGCACAAAATCCTCCAAAGATTTCTCATCACATTCAGAATAAAATCCAAAGTCCTTACTGTGGCCTACAAGGCCCTGGTCCATCTGGCCTGGGGATGTCTCAATAACTTAATCTCTTACAATTGTTTCCAGCAGGCTCACTGCAAATAAGACATGTTGCCTTTGTTCCTTAAACAGGCAAGGCGGTTCCCACCCCCAAGGCCTTTACATCCATAGGGATTACTTACTGGTTCATGCAGGTCCCTGCAACTTGCTCAAGAGGCCTTCTCTTCGACACAATCTAACATATCCCCTCCCTGCTAACCTTAACCCTCCACACTCTCCTCACACTTCTGATCCTGTCTCTTCTCATCACCATCTGGAATTATAACTCTGTCTGTCTGTCCACAGAATGTGAACGCTCTCAGGGCAGGGACTTGAGCTTGATCACAACCTACGCATTTGTTGAATAATTAAATAACTTATGTTAAAAGATCTTACAAACTGTGAAGTGTTAAGCATTTTAGATCTCTTGTAAGCGGGTAGGATCATAAATAAAATTGAAACGTGGTCTGTAATTATCACTATAACGGGACCCACTGCTAACTTTCCTTGCTGAAAGAACTAGAGACGACAAAGGGCAGACTACCCACCTCCAATCCTCTGCTTGTCAAAGGCCTGCTTGACTTAACTGTCAAAGCCGCCACCCGCCACCGCCACCGGAGGAAGGAGCCCAGACCTGCACCAGCACAGAAAGCCACACCTCTCCCAGGAGCCACACTTCCCCACCCCCGGGACAGCTCACCCAGAGAATCCCTTCTTTCCTCCTCCTAACAATTATTTTTTTATCCTCACCCGAGCACATTTTTCCATTTTTTTGTTCAGGTAGAGTGGGAGGGAGAGAGGGAGAGAGGGAGAAACATCGATGTGAAAGGGACACATCGAGTGGTTGCCACCTGCACAACCCAACCAGGGCCGGGGACCAACTGCAATTGAGGTACGTGCCCTTAGTGGGAACCAAATCCGGGTCTCTCTGGACTGCAGGCCGAGGCTCTAACTGCTGAGCCAAACCGGCCAGGGCCTAACAATTATTTTTGTGGCTTGGAGAATTAAGTCAGAAACTCTTGCCAAGGTGCGTAGTACATGTCTGCAATTGTGATTTATTTTTTTCTTAAAAAACTTTTTTTCTTTATTAATTTTTAGAGAGAGAGGGAGGAAGAGAGAGATAGAAACATCAATGAGAAAACATCGACTGGCCTCCTGCATGCCCCCCGCTGGGGCTCGAGAGCACAATCTGGGCATGTGCCCTGACTGGGAATCAAGGGCGCCCTCTTGGTGCAGGGTCGACACTCAACCACTGAGCCACACCGGGTGGGCTGCAATTGTGATTTAAAAGGTTTACTCTATAGATAGACATTTTAGATGACGTGGATTGAACAAGAATGGTACAACTGAGCTTCTCTACACAATGGCTGGGACAGACTAGAAGTTGCCCCATCACACTTTCCTGATCCTCCAGGTCTAACTTTCTCATTATCCTGAGATGACAAATAGGTGTGCTGTCTCTTCATTTATCACAAATCATTATCTTTCTACCCAGGCCTGTTCTTCTCACCGTCGCATATAAGGATCACATTCCATTGAGGTAATCAATCAAGCTCTTTTCTAGCTGGAAGAATTCTGAGCAAGTTACCTCATCTCTCTCTATGAACTACATGAAATGTGGACAAAAGCCATACACATAATTGGGTTTTGTGAAAATTAATCAAAATAATGTACACAAAGCACTTTGAATTGCTGCTAGAGAGCACGCACTCAATGTATAACCATGATCATTTATCCTATACCAATCTGTCCCAAGACCTAGCAATTCGACCTCCGGAACGGCTCTTAGCTCCATCCAGTGTTTCCCACAACTTACATAAGGGAACAGTTCACACACTGTTGTAGCAGCCATCCATTCTTCACAGAAGCTGTGTAACTAAAACACGCAGCTAATTCTGTGACTCTGATGTCAAAACTTCTGTAATAAACTGCCTAGCACCATCTTGGAACAGAACATGTATTTTTCAGAAACTGTCCCATGAACCAGTGTCATCTGACTGGCTTCTAAACTTTAAACAAGGAACAGAAGTGACCCTGTAACAGTGCAGATCAGGTTACACACACTGTTTTAAATCCTCACAGTCCTCACAGAAACCAGGTGGTTTCTCCCAACCTTTTCTACAGAGGCTCCAAGCTGAAGGACTTGGACAGAGCCTCCTGTCCCTATGCATTTATTCCGTTCTGACTGCAGTTTGAGACTGGCTTCAAGAGTCCTGAGCCTGGCTGGGGTGGCTCACTGGCGGAGCATCGGCCCTGCACCAAGAGGTCGCCGGTTCGATGCCCAGTCAGGGTACATGACCAGGTTACGGGCCAAATCCCCAGTGGGGGACATGCAGGAGGCGGCCAGTTGATGGTCTCTCTCACTGAAGTTTCTATCTCTCTTCCTCTCTCTCCCCCTTTCTCTCTCTCAAATCCATAAAGAAAAAAATTTAAAAAAAAAAAAAAAAAGAGTTCTTGTGAATCCCATGAAACTGTTCAACGATAACTTTTAATGAAAAGGTAAAATCATGGGTCTTGTGCAAACATAAAATGAATACGTGTCAAAGATTGTGAAGTAATGGGTCAGGGAGCTACTTAACTGATAAAAATCAGTTCACAGGAAAATTAAAAAGGCAGACACACAAATCTCAGCAGCGAGGGGGGCTGGAATAAGCCTGCGAACAGACGTGACACCGGTCAGGGCAACGACCGCAGCTTCGATCGCTGCGAGGCCGACGCGCGCTGTTTTCTGCGAGGTTCCCAGGTGCAAAGCAGCCCAGTGGCAACGAGGCACCGAGAACCTGGGGGAGAACCCAGTGTCCTTCGTTGGCCACTTCGAAGGCTCCCCTTCCCCGGCGAGTCCCATGCACCAGGTTCTGGCTCAGCACCGTGTCCTGGGGAAGCTCGCGCAGGGCTTTCCCGACGTTTTCAAGGGGCGCGGTGCGCTCAAAGGGCGAGCCCCGTGGCGCCGGCCTGGCCTGGCCTCGCCACCCTCGGGTCCCAGCCCGCGCGCGAGCGCCCCCTGCCCGCACTGCGCGCTCACGGGGACGGGACTGACGTCGGGAGGAAGAAAGGCCTCAGCCTGAAGCCCCGGGTCCTCACTTCCGTATCCTTGGGGCGCCGCTGCGCACGTCGGGGACGTGGCGTCACTTCCCGTGGGTCCCCAGCCGCCCCTCCGCCCCGACGCCGCGGGACTCCGCGCCCGCCTCCCCCACACCCACTGCCGCGCATGCGCACTGACGGGCTCGCGGGGAAGCGGGGCACGAGGGGAACGGATGACGGGGCGCACTGACCTTACCCCACCTCAGCGGCCCTAGAGTCCGCTCGGAACTTACTCCGTTCAGTTCCCCAAATACAGGCCAGACCCTGTGTCCTCCAGCCCTTCCGGTCTCCCGAATCTCACACTCGTGGTTGGGACGCGTCATAGGACGAGCGACACAACTCTCCCGCACGCCTCGGAAAGACGCTCCGAGGCGCCGCGTCGCTACGTCCCAGGCGTGCGGCTCGGGGGCGGGGCGTCGGGGCGCGCGGCCAATGAGGAGCGTGATGGGCGGCTGAAGCCGGCGACGCGGCCGCTGTGCTGGTCGGGGGAAGTGACGTCACGGCCTGTGGCGGGAGAATTGGAAGTGAGTGTGGTGCCGTGTTTGGGAGGCGTGAGCGGTCCTTGCTCTCCGGGCTGAGGGCGCTGCGGCCGCCCGCGTCGCTGCCCTGGGGCAGGGGCGAAAGAGTCGGCGCCCCGAGCGGACGGTGAGGACGCCGGCGGGCCGGTGGTCCCGGGCGTGTGAGGCCGGCAGCGCCGGGCCTGCTGCGTCCCTCGTTGCCCAGGAAACGCGCTCCTCCTTGTTTGGATGTGGTTTCCTAACAGGACACCGGGTCGCGGCTCTGAAACTCACAGACCGTGAGTCGTTCAGGGGTGGGGAAGAGACGCCAAGCCCGGTGCCGGCTGCCAGGAGCCCGGGCGTCCGGCCCTGCCCCGGGGACACGGGTGCCCTGGCGGCCGGGCGGGGCAGCCCCGGGTTGCGTGACAGGTGTGGGCAGGCCTCCCGCAAACGGTGTGACGCTGACGACGCTCCTTGACTGGAAGTCAGGGCTCTCCTAAATATTAGAAACCCAACCAGCCTTTTTCCCTTTTTACCCTCACGAGGACACTTGCATTCATCTTCAGACAGGGCGGGAAGGAGAGAGAGAAGCATCCACGTGAGACACATCGAGTGTCTCACGACCCCACCCGGGCCCGGGGACCAACTGCAGCCGAGGTCCTGTCCTTGGCGGGAACAACCGGGAATGACCGGGACTCTGGTCCGCCCGCGACGCTCTAACCCTGAGCCAACTGGCCAGGGCCTGCTTCCCTCCTTCCTCCCTCCCTTCCTTCCTTCCTTCCTTCCGCAAACTGGCCAGGGCCTGCTTCCCTCCTCCCTTCCTTCCTCCCTCCCTCCCTTCCTTCCTTCCTTCCTTCCTTCCTTCCTTCCTTCCCTCCTTCCTACCCTCCTTCCTTCCTCCCTCCCTCCCTTCCTTCCTTCCTTCCTTCCTCCCTTCCTTCCTTCCGCAAACTGGCCAGGGCCTGCTTCCCTCCTCCCTCCCTCCCTCCCTCCCTCCCTCCCTCCGTCCCTTCCTTCCTTCCTTCCTTCCTTCCTCCCTTCCTTCCTTCCCCAAACTGGCCAGGGCCTGCTTCCCTCCTCCCTTCCTTCCTCCCTTCCTTCCTTTCCGCAAACTGGCCAGGGCCTCCTCCCTCCCTCCCTTCCTTCTTTCCTCCCTCCCTCCCTCCCTTCCTTCCGCAAACTGGCCAGGGCCTGCTTGCTTGCTTCCTTCCTTCCCTCCTTCCTCCCCCCCCCCATCTAACTTGCTACTTAGTTTCCGTTTCTTTTAGGTTATAAATCCCACAAGCGATACCACTGATTTAGGAAAACAATTTGTCTCGCGGTTTCTGACCAGCCCAACCGTGACCTGAATGAGTACGCAGCGTCCTCCTGCGCCTGGTGATGAAAGCATCTGCCCTCCGGGGTACAGACCTGCTGTGCAGGCCCGCGGGCTGCTCGCGAAGAGTCCCGCTCCCCGGGCACAGCCGCTTCCCAGCAAGGCAGGAACTGGCTGGGGACGGCACTGGCCTTCTGACAGCCTCGTTTTGAAGGGCCAGGCCTCAGTCCCGTTCCTGTTTCTCATTGTCTCGGCCTCTTCTCTCTGCTACTGTCAGGCTCGGGTCTCCGACCGTGCGACTTGGAGTCCCTAGATCATGCCTTGGTGACTTCCACAGGCCTTTGTATGTACTGATTACCATTTGGAACTACCTTCCCTGGCATCCTCCCTGGCTAATGTTATTTCAGCTCGCAGCTTGGCATTGCGTCCTTCTGGAAGCCTTGTTTGATGCCCTAGGGCGAGCTGGTTGCCCCCCGCCGCCCCCTTATTCCTGTCACATTTCACTGTAATCACTATTCCTCAGTCCTTGACACTGAAAATGTCTTGAGGTTAGGAATGATATATTCATTTTCGTCTGGCATATAGTAAGTACTAAATAAATATGTGTAATTTGTAAGTAATATGGAGGTGGTCTGTTTTATGTGTTTAAATGAGAAATGGAATCCAGAATTACAAATCACAGCTTTATGGAAGCCCTCGTGGGTCTTTTAGGGCAGGGTGCTCAAACTCAAGCTTGCATCACTGTCACCTGCAGTGCCTGTTCAAACACTGCGGGGCCCTGACCCCAGACTTTCTGAATTCGTGAGTCAGGGGTGGAACCCAAGAATTTCAGTTTCCAACTCGTTTCATGCTGATGCGATGCTGTTGGTCTGGAGGTCATACCTTTGGAACCAAGGCTTTAGGGAAAATAATAATTTTCTTTGTCATCTCTACTCTTCCAGCAATGATTGTAGATGTCCGATTTGCCCACAGTAACAGTTTTATTCAGTGGCATGGAATAATCACAGAACTCATTGAAGTGATATTGAAAAGATTTTTTTCCTTGCAGAGGAATTATGTGTATTCTGTACTAGAAAAGGTGGTATGTAGACTTGAAGCTGTACAAGGAAAAATGTAAAGCACAAGGGGGCCCTCTTGTGGTGACCATAGCAACTCAGAAAACTTTGGAAATGGAAACTATTAAGAACCCAACCTAGGGTCAGGGGGAATCATTTCTGATACATGTTATGGCACCTGGAAGAGTTATTGCCAACTGCTAATCTTTCACTTACTTGACTTTGTTTTCTCTTACTTGACAAATCCCTGTTCCACAGTGGGGTGCACACACTGTGTTCTCAGTGGCAGGAACTGACTGCTTCTGTGTTTCCCTGGGCAGTTGCATAGTCTTAGAAATCACAGATTCCTCTCTCAGGTCAGGAGTTTGTGGGGAAAAGTATATTTGATACTTCTTTTCATCAAGGTTGAATATTTGTTATCATTTTTCAATTTAGGTGTTACAGTTGAAGAACCACTGATTATTTTCTGGACCTGACTGGTTTGTAACTTCAGAAGAAACAATGGAAAGCCAAGAGTTTGTTGTAAGTCTCACCACTATTTTTTTTCTTTCTTCCATATTTTACAAATGTTGCTAGAGTTGCCAGGTTAAGCAAAAACAAACAAACAAAAATCCCAAAACCTAAAAGCAGGAAACTCAGTTAAATATGAATTGCAGATAAACAATAAAGAACTTTTTGGTTTAAGTCTATGTGTCTCAAATATTGCCCGATATTTTAACTGGCAACCCTATCTCTTGTCTACTATTCATTTGTTATACAGACTCCTTTGGAATAAATCTCGGGAAGCTCGAGACCAGGAAATAATTCCTTTCTCTTGAAGAACTGGCATGCCTCTTCTGTGTGGATCAGTGGTCTTAAACTATTTGGTCTCAAGACCCTTTTCTACTCTTGAAGATTATTGAGGACCCCAAAGAATTTTTTATTATGGGCCTTATGTCTATTGATTTTTTTTTACATTAGAAATTGTAACATTTTTAAAAATACTTATTTATTAAAAAGAGCAAACCCATTACATTTAATAAATTATATTCTTAAAATAGCTATATTTCCCAAAATAGTAACGAAACAAGAGCAGCATTGCTGTAGATTATGTTCATATCCCTTTAACATTGAACTTAGTTCTCAGATCTGCTTCTGCATTTAATCTGAAATTGAATCTTACCATGTTGCCCATAAATAACCTGTACATAACTCCACCCTACTTTCCCAAAGGAATGAGAGGGAAAAGGCAAGTAATTTCCTAAAACAGTTTTGCCCTCACAGACCTCTGGGAGGTCTTGGGGACCTCCAGGAGTCTCTGGACTACACCTTGAGAATTGCACAAAGCTTAAGTGCTTTGTAACACACGCGTTTATCCTTTCCCCCTGATGACTAAGAAGCTCAAAATTACTTTTGTTACTCAGTTAACTTCAGTTTTTACTTAGATTTTAGTTCTTTTCTACTCCCTGTTCTTTTACTATCTAGTTTCTTTTTTTAATTTATTTTTTTTGGAATTGTTATGATATCTGTGCTTTTATTTTGATAAAGATGTCTTAAACATATTTTGTTTGTGGAATGGTATAAAATATGTAACAATACATAAATATAGAAACCATTTTTTTGTGCTTTTGGAAATAAGGTACTGTATACTCATCAAAAGACGAAGAAGTCAAAAGTGTGGCAAGATGGAATTTTGAAGATCACTCACTTAGGAAACAAAGTAAGTGCCAAGCAGTCGAGACAGAATCCAAGAGCTTTGTGTTTTGTTTCAGTAGCAGCAGTCTGTACAAGGTCATGCCCTTTAGAGAGTGTCGGTCTTTATGGATGTCTCTACGTTCAAGTCATGTCATTATCTTTCATTTTCTTTTTCATTTGAAATGAATTTATTGACATTGCTTAATTCTTCTCATTTGAATAGATGACTGTTTAGTCTGCCCCCATCTATATATTTTTAACCACTTATCTTAAACTACTTAATTTATTCACTGTTCTATGCTATTCTGTGTAATTTTCTCTTTTATATTCTTCCTGTTTGGTTAGGGCCAAATCTAAAAAATCTTACAGATTTTGTCTTATATTAAAAAGACATCTGATTGGATTCTGAATATCTGCCATGTCTTCTTGTGATACAAAATCACAATATTAAGTTCAAGCTAGTGGTATTCAACTTTATCTTTAACTGTCACATGTATTGTGTCCATTGTACACCTCACACTGGTAGGTTATAGGAAAACAAGATAAATTCAACTTAGCCCCCGAGATTTTCTGGGACCCAGGAAAGTTACTATCAGTATATACTCAGCCATTGCTTACATTATTTCTCTTGCTCTAGTAATGCTTCTCTCCATGTATCCAAATTCTTACCATCTTCCAGAGACTGAGTCATCACGCAGACATTGCTGGTGGGCAGTAGGAAAGTCAGACGAGACATGGAGTCAGTGTGGAAGAGCAGCTAGTGTCAGGCAGACCTCTTTGCGTCCTGGCTCTTCGCTTGTTGGATGTGTAACCTTGGCAAGTTACTTCGCCTCTCAGGCCCCTAGTGTCCTTCTAAATGGGGACAATGATACTTCATCAACTTGTCCTGAGGACTAAATGAGAAAACAAACCTCTAACAAAGTACCTGGCATATCGTAAGCATGCACTGAAGTAACTGTTGTAGTTTTTGTCTTCATGAGACTTTTATCTAAGAGCATAAGGATCATAATATGTACAGTAATATGCTCAGGACTCTGAGATTACAAAGGAGGGACATCACATCTGACTCTGGTTCAGAAGGTGTCCGGATGAAGAGTGTTTGATTTGTACATGAATTGATAGGTTGGAGAAAGAGGACCTGAAGATGGTGTCATAGCTACAACGTGGAGGAACAAAAGACTAGTAAACACTTGGGGAACTACAGGCAAAGAATGGGGCTGGAAGTTGCAGGAGCCATGTCACAGTGAACTGCTCAGCTCGAGGAGCCAGTGAGAACTGGGAGCAGAAGAGTGACATCATCATGTTTCTGTTCTAGGAAGTCATTTTGGCAGCAGAGTCAAACCTAACTTTTAAGTGCTGCAGGATCAAAGTCAGGCTGTATTTAGGAAGACTGTTATAGCAAAGAGACAACAGGGTGACATGGACAGAAAGTGATGGGGGTCTGGCCGAGTGGGCACGAGCGGCAACAGTGCAGAGAAGGGTGATTACAGGGACGTTATGGGAAGGTTGTAGAATCTCAAGGTCTAGGATGTGGAAGGTGAGGAGAATCTAGAATGAGTTTCAGGTTTCTGATGATGGTTAAGGTGCTGGTTAGGGTATCTCCAAATGAACATAGTGAATTTCGTGTCATGGAAACACAAGTGACCGGCTGTGGGCCTGGAGCCCGGAGAGCTCCGGGCAGCTGAGAGGAGCGCCTGCACGGAGGGAAGCTCGAAGCTCCTGGCGTGGGCTCATTCATTCGTTCAGCAGGTACTTGGGAGCATCTGTTATGAGTTACCCCCTGTCCTGAGGGATGCAGCAGGGAACAAAGATGAAGCCCTGACTGCATGGAGGAGAAGGAACGTATACCTGGTGGGTCAGGCAGACAGCAAGGAGTAGGGTGAGCAAGGGCGAGAACGGACATAAAGGGGGTTCTGGGAGCCTCACTGGTCCTTGCGAGGACTTGCGTTCTCATTCTTTGGGAGCTGTGGGTACCGTGGAAGGACCTGAGCAGAAGCGTGGCATGATCTGATTTGTGTGGGTGGTCTCGCTCAGGGATGGGGTATAAAATGGAAGAGTAGAGAAAATAGAGCCCTTGACTGACATACAATTCATACACTTTAATTCACCCAATTTAGAGTACACAGTTCAATGGGTCTTAGTGTACTCACAGAGTTTTGCAATGTCTTAATTTTAGGTCATTTTTATTACCCCCAAAAGAAATCTCATACCCATTAATAGTCACTCAGTGCAGAACTCCAGTCCTAAGCAACCACTAATCTACTGACTCTGGTAGATTTGCCTGTCTGGGCTCCCCGTGACCGCAGCCGCACGCCGTGGGCCTTTGTGAGCTTTCACTTGTCCTGCTTTCAGTGTCCTCCGTGTTGAACCGCGTGTCAACACTTCATTCCCCTTTATGGCTGGTGATGTGCTGTTGTATGGATTGATCCCATTTCCCTTACCCATTCATCATTTCACGTGTATTTGACTTGTTTCCACTTTTTGTCTTTCTTAAATAATGCTGATATGAACATTGGTGTGCAGGTTTTCATGAAAACAAGTTTTCATTTCTCTGTCTACCGAAGAGTGGAATTACTGGATCATATGGTTACTCTGTGTTTAATCTTTTTTTTTTTTTTTAAAGGAGAGATCCATTTTTTTCCTTTATTGATTTTTTTTTAGAGAGAGAAACATCAATGAGAGAGAACATCAGTTGGCTGCCTCCTGCATGCCCCCCACTGGGGATCAGGCCCACAACCTGGGCATGTGCCCTGACCGGGAATCAAACCGGTGACCTCTTGGTGCAGGGTCAGTGCTCAACCACTGAGCCATACCCGCTGGGCTCTGTGTTTCATCTTTTAACAACTGACAAACTTCCAAAGTGATGGAAACAGCAATATTAAAGGGCTCGTGGAGAAACTGCTGTGAATGGCTATAGAGACACAAGGAGAAATCTCTCTGGCTTCCTTTTTCGCCCCGTGCCTCCCAGGCACAGGCTGTGTTCCTCACACCTCATGAGCGGTGACTTCAGGCCCTGGCTGTTGCCCTGACCTCCCGCACCGCTGCAGTAGTCTCTCCACTGACCGAGTCCTGCTTTGTCCTCTCACGCTTTCCTGTTCTGTTGTTTCACTCCCAGACCCTCCTGGGAGGGATGAATTTTCTGAGTTTCTCATGTGCCTTCACTCTCTTCACAGAGTGACATTGAAGACAGATGCGGTTTCCAATCCCAAGTTAACAAAATGGGTGGTCCTTTCTTCCATGATTTACTCACAGAACAAGTTTAGATTTGCTTTCGAAGATGTTTAAGAAAAGCAGAATGATGTGTGTCCCGTTTTAACATTTATTTTGTTTTACTACAGGCAATTTTATATGATGACAAAGGAGAATGTTTGGACAGTTTATTTCTGAAGCGCCTTGAGGTATTTTAATGTGTCTACCTTATTTGTTTTTTTATTTGTATTTACTGATTTGAGAGAGAGAGAGAAATATTGATCTGTTGTTCCACCCATTCATGCAGTCATTGGTTGATTCTTATATGTGCCCTGACCAGAGATTGAACCCAAAACCTTGGTGTATGCAGATGATGTTCTGACCAACTAAGCTATCTGGCCAGGGTGTGTCTATCTTATTTTTAAGTATTGTTTAAAAAAGTCTCTTAGCCCTGGCCGGTTTGGCTCAGCGGTTAGAGCGTCGACCGGCGGTCCTGAGAGACCCAGGTTCGGTTCCCGCTAAGGGCGCGTACCTCGGTTGCAGTTTGTCCCCGGCCCTGGTGGGTTGTGCGGGTGGCAGCCACTCGATGTGTTCCTTTCACGTCGATGTTTCTCTCTCTCTCTGTTCCTCTCTCTCCCTCCCACTCTACCTGAACAAAGAATGGAAAAATGTCCTCGGGTGAGGATAAAAAAAAAAAAAGTCTCGAAGTATTTCTTTTATGAATGTTGTTAAATACTATAGTCAAGATACTAATACTAATAATTCTAGCCATTGTTTATTGAACATTTATTATTATCCAGACTCTGTGCTAAATAAAAGCTTTTAGAAATTATCTGATTTAATGTTTACATAACCCTGTAAATTGCAAGTTAGCGGTGTAGTTCAGAATATTAGGTAACTTGCCCACAGTAGTGTTGCAGTGGTGGGGCTGGGGTGGGCCCCGGCAGTGACTCTAGACAGACTCTGTTTCTTGGTTTTGATAGGCGGAGAACAACAGTGGGCACTATTTTGTGGAATTACTCCTATTTAAAATCTTGTCTCGTACACTGATCCTGTGTTTCTCCCTGTTGGAGGAGGAAGGGAGGGGAACTAAATGCTCAGTGTGAAGGCTCAGGGTGACAGATTGTGCATTCCGGGTCGTTCCCACTTCCAGGTGCTCCTGCAGCCCAGCATGCATCTGACTGCTGGCCTGCGGGCCTGGGTCGCCTGTGGGCTGCGCGCTGGGGAGGGCTCATGCGAGGCGCCAAGTGGCTCCCACTCTGCGGTGTTCTGGCTCACTTCTTGTCATTGTGCTGGTTTGGCCATGGTATTTAATCCACTTTAAAATTTTATATGACCTTAATAGTGCTTGTGGTATTTCTGTATTTATCAAAAGAGGGTCTAGAAGCACTGTTTTAATAGGTGTTTCATTGGTGGTAACTACTGTTATTTTTATATTTATAACCATTTTACTAATTAAACACATCTGTGATAATACAGATTTTATCAACTAGGTTGATTATTTTATTTTTATGCAGCACTCAGAGATGGTGGCAAGTGCTATGCTTTATTTAGGTGATTAAAAAGACCTTTTTGGGAATATGATTGTTTAACCAACTAATTTACATTAATACTTAATGTGTGATAATTAAAGACATAATTGATATTTAATAGATCTACTTTTTAAATTTTTCCATTTATCTTCAGATAGTGTGGGAGGGACTGAGGGAGAGAAGGGGAGAGAGAGAGAGAAACATCATTGTGAGAGAGACACATTGACTGTAAACACTGACCAGGGCTGGTGACTGAACCACAGCCAAGGTGCCCTTGACCGGAATAGAACCCAAGACTTTTTGATTTGTGGAGAGATGCTTTAACCACTGAGCCAAACTGGCCAGAGCTAATAGTTTTTGGGGTTTTTTTGTTTGTTTTAATTAATATTTACTTGTATGGGTTCTAACTGAAGTTCTTGAGAGGAGGCGTATTTCCCTTGCTTCTGTCTGTGTCCCCAGCACATGACAAAGGCCTCATATAGGTCCCAGTATGTACTGTTGAATAAACAAATTAGTGACATTTTTGTTGTATTATTATTCTTTTTTTGTGCGTGATGGTACTTAACTAGTGCATAATAATAATAAAGAGTTTAGTTATTGATTCACTCATTCAGTAACTTTATCCAATATGCACTGTGTCTCACTAGTGCTCATGAGCTCACCAGAACACACAGGTCGTCAGATAATTAGAGCATGTGATTCTGACATGTGTCCTTTAACATCTAGGTGAAGCCTGGAGATGGCTTAGAGAGTGACCGATACTCCATCACAGTGGAGGAGGTTAGAGCTGCTGGAGGCACAGCTGTGAACCAGGACAGGGCTCCAGAAGCACCGAAGCTCAGTCCCCAGCAGGTGGCGCCCTCCGGCCGGTCCGTCAGGTGTCAGCCTGCCGGTTTGAAAAGGAAGTTTACTGTGAGTTTCTCTGTGAAAGTACTGAGTCCATCTATACCTGGAAAGTCATTTCAAGAAGAAGTGAATTTTGGAACTGTTGTAGTCTCATTAATTTAAAGGGCATTTTATAGCATATTCTTGACCGGTAGAAAGTCAACTCTAATTAGAAAAGAATCTTAATGAAAATTAGTTTACATTATAATTAACTTTGCAAACTTTATATTTTAATTATTACTTTACCTTACAAAACATACACATCTTTTTTCTTTTTTTTTTTAAACTGGTACATTTCACGTTTTCTGTGTAGGCAATAGAACAGCTAATAATTTTTTAAATATTTTTAGGGTTTTCAAGGACCACGTCAAGTGCCAAAGAAAATGGTTGTTATGGACAATGGCGAGTCAGCTGCATCACTTGAGGCTGTGACCCCTGGCCCTGCTGTCTTCTCTCTGTTCTCGAGCCCTCCTCCGTTGTTTTCTGCTGCTGGCAAGAGAGGGGTACGCAGTGTGCCAGCAGACCCCGGGAGCAGTGTCGTCTGTGAGGACAGATGGAGCAGTGGCCCACCCTTTCCCTCCACTGGCTCTGCCCCGTCCTCCAGGAGCTACCAGGAGATATTGTGGCAAGAGGGGCACCTTTGCTCTCCTGTCCGCAGTGAGCCCACGGAAGGGCACAGTGTGGCACCTGCCTGTTCAGGAGCTGCACAGAGCATCAGGAGCAGAGCACGGATTCTAGCTCTTCTGAAGTCCAACCCAACCAGTGCGTCCAAGGAAGTGGATTCTGAGATGTCAGGACATTTCCCTCAAGTACAGCCACAAGGGAGTTTGAAAATTCCTACCAAGCAAAAGTGCTTCATTAGTCAGGAAGAGTGTGCTGAGGGGAGAAGAGAAAGCTCACAGTACCAGCAACCATCAGAAAGGCCCATGAGAAATGAAAGCCGGTGGGCCGTGTATTTATCCTCACCGAGTTCACCTGTTCATTCTGCTGTAGCTAGAAATGATCTAGAAGGGAAACCCCAGGCTCAGGGAGATGACATACATTCAAATTTGAGAGACTTTTTGGTACAAAAAAGAATACAGTTATTCGAAGCAGGTGCTGAAAATGGGGAAAAGTGTAATGAAGAGAAGGTAGTAGATAATATTGATCCATCCCAGGATCAGGAAGTAAAGCAGGAAATTCCTTTATGCAGTGAAAGCAACAGCTTACCTATTACCTGTGGCAATGTGGGAAATGATGGCTTAGTGTCAGAATCTGACATTCAAGAAAATATTCAAATACCTGTTAATCAAAATGACCATATGTGCATAAAAGGATTGCTTCTTACTAGAGAAAATGCTCAGGCGATAAATACATGTGGAACACCAGAAAAGGATCATGAGCAAGCAGTGTCTTCTGTGCCCAAATCCAAGCATCTACAGATTGAATCTTCACTGAATAACAGTTCTGGGATCTCTGAGGCCATTACAGACATGTTTCCCAGAAGTAATACTGATAATGAGAGCCTTAGTATTCACAGACCCATGAGCAGTGTAACACAACCAGTTTTGCAGGTAAATTTTAATCTGAACAATTTTGAAACCAGTGACACCGAGGAGGAATCCCAGGAAAGCAACAAAATGTCTCAGGATCCAGAGGACTGGGAAAGGGAGGCCTTGGCGGATGACTGCAGTTCAGGTGTTCCGAGGACATTTGGGAATGCACCTTTGTCTCTCTCAGTGTCACAGCTTTGTGGTGCAGCTGGACCCACTGGAGGTGAAACAGCGGGGTGTAGTGACTCAGCAGTAGAGTGGGCCGACGATGTGTGTGCAGGTAGTGAAGACGCTCATGCACCTATCCAAAAACTCAGAAGTAACTATGATTTTGCTTCACTCCCTAATACATCTAAAGGTATAAACTCAAATTTACATATTCCTCATTTTTTAAACATAGATACTACTCAGACTCCTGAAAGCAATCTATTTTCAGAACAGACTCAACATCAATCTTTTTGTATGGGAAGTGACTTAGATGAAAATGATGAGCCGGTTTTACTGCCAACCTCTGGCAGAGACAGCAGCATCCAGCTATCAAATGCCAGTGAGACTCGCTCGGAGAAAGGCACTGTTCTCGATGAGTCGGACCCCCGACTTCCCAGCTCTTCATTTTACCCTCTGGGGAGGGATCATCCTATATCTAAAGACATGGAAACACATCTTTCTGAATCTGAAGATCTGGGAGGGATTCCAGGCTCACCCCGTGACCACACTGAAGGACATACTGCTGCAGCAGCAAGCACTCAGTCCTGGAATAGTCCTAGGATGTCTTCAGAACCTTCTGGATTAAAAAATAGCATTTGTCTTTTAAAGTCACTGTCTGAACACAGTACGGCTTTAGAAGGCTTGGAAATAGTGAAAAAGAAAAACACAACCTTTAAGCAACAAGGAACGCCGCAGACCCAGGAGCCCGAGTACAGCCCTGAAGGTTAGAATGCTTGTCTGTTTTGTTTAGAGATTAAAGGATGAGAAGAGACTTGCTCTGGGGCTGAAGAATTACGTAGCATTTAAATAGGTAGTACCTGTGCTTGGCAGAATGAGTTCTAATAGAGGATAAGGTGGTGAAAGTAGTCTTCCTTTCACAGTCCCTCAGCCCACTCCACCAGTTTTTTCCGTCCAGAAGTGTCCTACACATACCTGAAGGCACATCTAAGCAAAAGTGTGCATGTTACTGTCCATTCCTGTCATACGTTTTTGGACATGTGCTAGGAGTTACTTAAAAAAAAGTTTCTAGTGGTTATCTAATTTCACTTCACGCCTTTGAGTTGTCCTTTCTCCGTTCCAGGGTGTGTCTTTGTCCCCCGGGAGCACAGGCCCAGGCTCCCAAACACGTCAGTCTGTTACTCCCTCAGCTCCACACTGCACACCAAGGGCTCTAGGTCGCTAGCCAGTATCGCTGTGGGCAGTGAGCAAGATTGTGACATTCACCGATCCGGCAGTTGTTTCTTTGTTTTTAGACCGTATCCTACTGAGAGTAGAGAGTTGGGTATTATGTTCAAAAGTTACTTGGTTACTTTGTGCTCTTTCATGTGATTATCTTATTCAATGTAAATATAGTTAAGTTCATTGTTTGTATTCAGTAGGAATGCTTTTTTGGCCATCCTTGTTGATTTATTTTTATTTCTGACTATGTAAAATATTGACCTGGTTTGAAAGTCAAAGCCATATAAAGGTGTGTGCTCGGCTGCCTCTTGCCCCCGCCCTTTCCTGCGGCCTGCTGCGGGTAACCTCATACCTGTGTTTTCTTTGGCAAAAATAAACAGCTCCGTGTGGATCTTGTTTTCTCTTGTTCAGCCAAAGACACCATGCTCTATCTGTTCGTTAGCACCTTGCTTCTTTCCACCTGGCAAGGCACCCTGGAGGTCACCTCACTCCTAGGACTCATCATGCTATTCACAGCCCTGTAAGACTCCTGCGTGGATGGACATTCACGCCACCTCCAGTGTTTTGCTATTACAAATAATGTGACAATAAGTAACCTTATATATCTGTATAAACATGGGCTTTCTGCATATTGTTGGAGGTCTGCAAATACAAAGCAGTAGGGTTGCTGGGGAAAGTGTCTTAAATACACTTCAAAATTCCCTCCCAGGAATCACCAGATCTGAGCCCACCAGCCATGTGTGACTGCCTGTCCCCCCATAGCCCAGCCATCTAAGATGACAGGTGCAGCTCAGTCAGTGCGTCTTAGATGTGTGCTCCACTGCTGACGGGGAGCTGCACCGCTCTCCACATGCTTGGACATCGCATGTGCGCTCATGTACACCCACCCACCCCTTGTCCACTTCCAGGGGTGGTTTTGTTCTCGTTGATTTGTGTGACTTCTTTATATCACAGAAGCCCTTACCTGTGACATTGCAAATGTTTTCTTTCAGTGTCATTGGTCTTTTGACTTTGCTTCTGGTCTGTTGCCAGCAGCGTTTTTGAAAATAAATACAAAACATGTTAGTAAATATAGTAAATAATATATACACATGATTGTGAATGAACAGTGTACTTCACAGTACTCAAAAGTTAAAATTGAGCTCTTAGTTAAATATCTCAAGGGATTCCTGAGAAAAATAGGAGTAAGTTAGTATACCTGCTAAAATGCTTCTTTAAAATGTAGTTAAATTTAACACTGATCATTGCAGTTTATTTTCTAAAAAATTAAAAAGGAAAAAGTTAGAAAAATAAATTTGGGTAGATATAATTATATAATGTCATAAGGATATAAACTCCTATCATGAAGGTGTAAGAATATCAGAATTTAGTTTAGGGAAATGTCCTCTTTTCCACATCGAGTTGCAAAGTAGGGTTGCAGTTGAGTCTCTTCATTTGCGGTTAGTTATGTAGTCACAGGTGCGTGGTGACCAGTGAGCCGCCGTGTCGTGGAGAACGACAGGATCAGGTTTCCTTCAGAACATGGTCCTGGCCCATCCATACAGAGCCTTGTGTTCTGTGTATTCCCATTTAAAGACACCTTAGTTTACACTGTTGATTCATTAACATTAAAGCCATGGCCAGTAGCTCCTTGACAAACATGTGGAAATGTGCTCCTAGATAGACCCCGAGAAGGACACTGTCTACCACATAAGAGCTGAAACAAGTCAGAAATGCTCATTTAGAATTTTTTTTCCTGGGTGAAGGTAGTAAAGGGAAGAACACAAGTGTTCATCTAGTGCCTTTTTAAAGCTCTTGAATAGCATCAAGTTCTAAAATCCACTTAATTTTATTTTGTTTAAAGTATTCTGAGTTTTTAACGGGAAAATAATGAAACCAGAAATAAATTGGCTGAAAAAGATGTTTTTAGATATAGCTATGAGTTTTTTACAGTAATAATCACTTTAAAATGATAGTCTTGGTGTTTTTAGATAAAATTGAGATGATTGAATATGCACTTTTTCTTTCAAGAAAAAATTCCATTTTTAAACAGATACCCATGAGGTGGTCTGGCCCAGACCCCCTCCCTGCTTTCCCTCTGCTGGGTGGGTTGTACACCCCATCCCCTATACACCCCCTTTCCTGCCTCTGAGTCCTATCGCCTTCACCTGAATTGACCCTGAATAGCTGGTGTTTTCCTGTCTTCAGGTCTCAGTTGGAATGGCACTTCTGATGAGAGGTTTTCCATTGTCCCATCTAAAACTGCTCTCATAGTTCTCGGATATGAAACCTTTGTTCCACAGTCTGAACTTACCTGTTTTTTTTGTTCTCTGTGTCCCTCCCTTTTTGAAGGACCTTGTTTTCTCTTGTACTGTTTGTCCAGTGCCTGGCACACAGAGCACAAGAGAATAATTGAGGTTTTTTCCAATTCTCATGACTTTGCCACATCTTAACATTGAAGTTATATTCCTTGTTTCATTCAGTTTTAGAAATAAGTTTTGAAATATTTTAGAGTACCACTATATGTATATTGAATAAAATCATTGTGTTTTGTCTTATAGCTGGGAAACCGTTGGTCACAGGAGTTTCGCAAGCGGTTCCAAAGTCTCCTCATCTGAACCAGGATTCTCAACTGGTACGTTACTTTTTCTATTGCTGTATTTTATTTTGATATAGACTGTTCTGTAATTCATAATGAAGTTATAGTAATAGGGGTCCCAAGCTATCTAGGTTCATGACCTCACCTCGTATCACTAATGTTTCCATTCCTCGACCAAAAGAAATACCTGGAAGTTCCACTTGAGGAGTAGTTAGTGCCCTAGCAACTCAGCAGGCATTTCATTTTTATTTTTCCGAGTTTTACTGAGATATAATTGACATGTAACATTGTATTGTTTAAGGAGTACAATATAAGGTGATATATACATTGTAAAACGATTGCCATTTGCCCCCCCCCTTTTTATCTTACTCTAGTTTCCAGGTTATAGGTCATTTTGTCTCTTAATCTTGAGTCCTCCCCACACTTTTTTAGATACAGAAAAAGGTAAAGAAAAATAAAACTTATCCTACCACTCAGATGATTGTTGACATTTCCAGCTTTTTTTGGCCTGTTTTTTTAAAATATGACTAGATTGATGTGTAAAAATAGTTTTATATCCTTTCCATTCTCATATTATTACAAACTTCATAAATACCTTTCAAAGATTATTTACCATTTCATCCTATGGTTATCCTACGCTTTGGACTACAGTTCACTGTTTTTGAACATTTTGATTATTTCCAGTGTTTGGCTATGTAAATAAAACTTCAGTGAATGTTTTTACACATAAATCTTTGTTTACGCTTAAGTTATTTTCTCAGATTGGATTCCCAGAAGCGGAACCACCCTGAAAAGCTAGAACAGCTTTCTTATGTTCTTGATACAAATTGTCAAATCTGTAAACCTTGCCCAGCTGGTGTGGCTCAGTGCTTAAGTGTCGACCCTGCACCAAGAGGTCGCCAGTTAGATTCCCGGTCAGGGCACATGCCCAGGTTGTGGGTCCGATCCCCGGTGGGGGGCATGCAGGAGGCAGCCAGTTGGTGTTCTCTCTCATTGATGTTTCTATCTCTCTTTCCCTCTCCCTTCCTATCTCTCAAAATCAATAAAGAAAAAAAAAATTTTTTTTAATTTTTAAAAAATCTGTAAACTCTATTTACAATATGTGCATTTATTTCACTTCCTATTCATCAGGACTGTTAAAGTCTTTTAAAGTTCTTGCAACATGAAAGTAGTGTTTAATCAACATTTGGTTTTTGCTGTGATAATTCTGGTGTTCTTACATTTATGTCTATAAAGTTTGTATGTTATTTTGTAACTTACTGTTGCCTTTGGTTTCTCTTGCCAGTGTTTTACTCTAACGATGATGAAAGAAAATGAAGTTGAACAAAGTGAACCACTGCAGTCTTCACAGGTGAGTGAACCTGTTCAACATAAAGTAGTCAGAAGTTACATTTGTGCATGTGGGTGTGGTATATAATTTTCTTTTTCTTTATTGATTTTAGAGGAAGGGAGAGGGAGAGAGAGATGGAAACATCGATGAGAGAGAACATCGATTGGACGTCTTCTGCATGCCCCCCGCTGGGGATTGGCCCACAACTGGGCATGTGCCCTGACCGGGAATCAAACTGGTGACCTCTTGGTGCAGGGTCGACGCTCAACCACTGAGCCACAGTGGCTGGGCATATAATTTTATGTTTACATTTTACATTGTCAGTTTTCAAGCTCATTCATAATTAGTTACCCCATCATACTCACTTAGCTGAACCTGTTGTTTTTTGTATAAGTGTCCTATGTGGGCGATAGGATTTAGTAAATAGCCCGTCTTTTCTCATAAAGCCAATTTTGCAAACTTGAAAGTATCACCTGATCCACATGGTGTCGTCAACGGTTACACCTGCACTCACAGGTCTGCTGCTTAAACGGGACAGGACCGACGCTCCAGGTTGTGGTGACAGTCACTTATCTCCGTAGACGTTGAAACCATAACCGTCAGCAGCTGCATCGTGTAACTTACAAATGGTCACATTCTTGCTGATTTTTCCCACTGGAAAAAAATAGGGTTTAAACTTTTTCAAGAACAGTTATCACCAAGTATAAACTTTAAATAAACACCATCAGTGTATTTTCCTCCAGAATGAGTTGCCATTTAAAATAAATGTCACATATTTTTATTTTATTGCTTTTAGAGAGAGAGGCAGGGAGAGGGGGAGAGAAAGAAAAACACCGATGTGAGAGAGAATTGCCTCCCGCTTGGGCCCCAGCCAGGCAGTACGCAGAGGCCGTCAGGTGCGCAGGACGGCGCTCCACCAGCCGGGCCACACGAGCCAGGGCATCACATTTTTAAAACATCTGTTGTAATCTCACAGTAATGGAAAAAGTCTTACTATATAGTCTTTCAAAATAAAATTTTATTTTTTTAAATACAGGAGTGCATTTTTATTTTTGTAATGACTTTCTTACTATAACTGTCTTAAACTAAAAGTGACTGGTTGCTGTTGCTGATAGCTTGTGTATTTTGGTTACTAGATGATTCATTCTTTAAATAAAATGTTACACTGTTTTCAGTTTTTCCTCATTTAACTTCATAACAGTTTTTCTTTTTTTTTTTTATCCTCACCCGAGGACATTTTTCCATTTTTTGTTCAGGTAGAGTGGGAGGGAGAGAGAGGAACAGAGAGAGAGAAACATCGATGTGAAGGGACACATTGAGTGGTTGCCACCCGCACAACCGGCCAGGGCCGGGGACAAACTGCAACCGAGGTACGTGCCCTTAGTGGGAACCGAACCTGGGTCTCTCAGGACCGCAGGCCGACACTCTAACCGCTGAGCCAAACCGGCCAGGGCTTCATAACAGTTTTTCAATTAAATAATACTCATTAACATCAGCATTAGGACTGATGGTGTTAAAAAATTCCATTAAAGTTTTAGAATCAGGATTTTCTAAGGCATTTTAAGGTTAATTAGCACCTCTCTATGAGAGCACTCCTTTGCCAGGGGTAGCTTGTTACATGTCTAGAGAGAAAGAAGCAAAATGGAAATGACAAGTGTATTTTCAAAGGGCAGACCTAACTTTTAGTTTTGGAGTATTTCCCCATCAAACTCATGAACACTCTTACTGATATTTTATTCTAGTTCTTTTCCTTGGGAAATGAAGAAGAGACAGTTTTTCCAGCTGTTACTCCTAAACAAATAGAGAGAAAAATCTGGGACCCTCAGGTAAAATTTGTGAAGAACACTGCTTTTCTAATGTAGTGTTTTTCTTCTGTTTACTACACAACCCCCTGAGTTTTCATAGGCACAACTTAGTGAGCATGAGTTCACCTGGTTTTAAGAACAAGAGAAATGAGAGGCTCCTCCCATGCTTTTGGTCTTGAGCCCTGTCTGTCACTGGTGACCTAATGGAGTTTGTGCCAAGGGTACTGAGGGGTCAGTCAAGAAGGGCTGTGAGGTGCAGTCAGTGGCACTTCTTCACAGTCTTGGCTCGCTGTGGCTTCCCGCCACGTCCGACTGGGTGTGCACGTGGGCTGCCTGCCACGTCCGACTGGTGTGCCCGTGTCCACAGCCCAGGTCCTCAGTGGGCACTGCTCCACGTCAGAGGTCAGTGGAGAGGACAGCATCCCAGGGCCTGGCTTTCATGACTGAGTCCCTTTCTAACAGCCAGCAGCTCTCTGGGAGGGAGCTGCATGGCTCGTGGAAAAGGAGGCCTCCGTTTGCTGTGGGGAAGCATCTGTCCACCCAACAAAGCAACTTTCACAAGGAAGTGTGTGTGTTTTAAATTCAGGATAATGTTTTCAACAAAAGTCCTGTGGAAGGGGCATTTTAGATTTGATTTTCCTTTCAAATGTGTGACTTAGAGTATTCATTTTTAATTAGAAGAATATCAGATTATACATTATTGTCATTTTGTTCATTTATCAGTTAGAAATAAATTCATCCTGTAGGTACATTCCTTTCGCTCTATTAGTCTTGTTTTTTCACGTTCTGGGTAGGCCCGATAGCCGTGTTGTGTAAAAATCCCAGCACCCTCCAGGGGGCAGCAGAGAGCCATTGCAAGCCTGGAAGCCGACCACGCCTGGGAATGCAGCCCCTCTGAGCTGCCTCTGTTGGGGTCACACTCAGGCCTTTGCTCTCAGAGCAGTGGGGTCAGATCTTCTGGAAGGCAGAGAGCCTGCCGTCCTCCATCCCCCATCCCTTGTCCCCCGTCCCTCCGAGGAAAGCCTGACGTTTTACTCAACTTCGAGAAGGAGGCTTCCTGTGTTCCTCTCCTGTCTGCCCATTGTCATGTTTCTGGCCGGCCTCCTGTGCCAAGCATGGTGTGAAATGAACTTACTGACACCTTGATGAAGCAAAAGGCCTCGGTCCTCAGAGCGCTTACAGTAGAATTAGTGTTCAGATAGAAGAGCGTCATTGTAGTGACTGACAGGTCTGCAATGGGACGTCCTGCAGTGCACAGTGAAGCGGAGAGAAAGGGCAACCACATGGTTCTGGCTTAATTAGCTCATTATTAATGCAGTCCTTGTGCCCGTGATAAAAAAACTCACACTTACTGTTGAACCAGAACTCCGTGAAATCAGAGCAGTTTAGTTGCCTTTAACATGTTTCAGAATAATAGTATTAGTCCCTTCGTAATTATTTACATTAAGTAATATTTGATACAAAGCTGAATTGTGTGTTATTTTCTATGTATAAGTATGCAGTGACTATGTGTGTCGACACGTACTTATGCACGACTCATTGTCAGTAATTCACCCGCAGCCTGTCGAGTTTCAAGGGCACCAAGTACACGGATCAGCGGCCAGTGCTGTGATGGTCAGAGGGCACAGCTCATGGCTGGACTGCGGCCAGTTTCCAGGCTCTGAGCATGACAGCTACATGTCTCGGGCAGTGGAGCTGCCTCGCACTTGTATGCAGGTTGACTTCTTGCAGGTGAGAAATATTTTTATTGTTAATCCTCACCTGAGAATATTTTTCCATTGATTTTTAGATAGAGTGGAAGGGAGGGAGAGAAACATTGATGTGAGAGAGACACATCAACTGATTGCCTCCGGCACAACCTCCACTGGGACTGGGGATCAAACTTGCAACCGAGGTGCGTGCCTGGGAATTGAACCCGTGACCCTTCGGTCTGAAGACCGATGCTCTTACCCGCTGAGCAACACCGTTCAGGGCACAGGTGAGAAACATTTTTATAGTTGCAACTTGCCAAATCATTTTCTTTATGTCAGTGCTAAGTTTTCTAAAGGGAGTACATTTAAATCTTTGTACATTGTAAATTAAAAAGTAGTTCAGTAGCCCAGCCAGTGTGGCTCAGTTGTTGAGCATTGTCCCATGCACTGAGAGGTCTCTGGTTCGATTCCTAGTCAGGACATATGCCTGGGTTGGGGGCTCGATCACCAGTAGGGAGCGTGCGGGAGGTTGCTGATTGATGTTGATGCTTCTCTCGTGATGTTTCTCTCTCTCTCTCCCTCTCTAAAAAACAAAAGTATCAATAAAAACATTAAAAAGAGGAATTTAGTAAATTGACAAGAAGCATAACATCTGTAATCAAACTAAATAAGGCAAAAATATTTTATTTGAAAGGTTTACTGCTTTTCTAGGATCAGGAATTTACAGGATTACTTTTCACTTCAGAAAAGACTAGGACTTTACGAAAAGAGCATGTAGGCAGGTTATATTTGTTTAATAGCTAGTAGATTTTTTTCCTCTCTTATCCCCCGAGTATGACACAAGTACCTCTCTTTGCTACCAGCTAGAAGTCAGCAGAGGGAAAGGCATGCGTGTATTTGAAACAGTGTCTAGTGAAGAGATTTGGAATTTTTCCTTTTTATTAAGCTATAACTACATACACAATAAGCATACAGCTCAATAGTCACCATGGAGTAAACCCACCCTTAGGAAACAGTATTATCAGCCTCCTGGAAGTTCCCCCTCTGCCCAGTTTTGCTTTTAAAATTGTATATACCTCGAGTAATTGTGTCTTTTGTTCAACATGTCAGTCTTGAAACGCACTCTGTTGTTTCCCAAGACTGTAGTCACTCACTCCCGTTGCTGGTGTGTGTTCTGTTGTATGACTTCCCGGCTCATCCGTGCCTTAGGCGGGCTGTTTGCATCTCGGGCTGTCGCAGCTAAGCTGCTACGAACACTCGTGTGCGTCGTGGACGTGGATTCTCATGACATGCTTCCGTTAGTTACGCTGCCCAGCAACAGGATTACTTGTCGTTGCTTTTAGCGGATAAGGCCAAACTGCTTTCCTGAGGTTGCAGAACTGGGTGGGCGATGAAAAGTGAAAGATGCCCACCAGCTGGACTGTACTAGTGGAAAGGGAAGAGATTGGGGAAGGGAGCCGGACCAGGCTGCCAAGTCCTGCCTGTGCAGGTAACAGCCTTGATGGTGTCGCTGAAGGGTAGCAACAGGAAGTCACATGACTTAATTTACATGCGATGGAGGGTTTGAGGGGTGACCAGTGGGAGCAGGGAAACCAGTGAAGAGGAGCCTTGGATGAGAGTGACTTGAAGTAGGGAGTGCGGAGGACAGGTGGAGTCTTGATGAGGAGGTTGAAGATAAAATTTGGAGGAGAAGCATGGATGTTGCTGGATTGGATGTCGAAGGTGGGGCTGAGGTGTGGACTGCGGAGGTGCTTGCAGGTGGAGCGAGATGCAGGGGTGCCTCAGCTCCGGCTGCCGTGGCAGTGCCACCGCCCAGGGGCTGCACAGGTCTTATCTCCCCGTTCCAAGGCCAGAAGGCCAAGATCCAGGCTCTGGCTGGTTTGGCTTCTCTTGAAGTTTCTCCCTGGCTCGCAGATAGCTGCCTCCTCTGTGCTCACATGGCCTTTCCGTGTGTGTGCACGTGTGTGGGAGAGGACACGATTCTCTGGGGTCGGGCCCCTCACTTAGCCTGTGACTTCATGTACCTTCGCTGCCTCTTCCAGGCCCTGTTGCTACCACAGCCACACGATGGTCAGGGCTTCCACACGAGTTGTTGGAGGGCACTCCCCTCAGTCAGATTAGATTTTTAAGGTGATTGCTTTTTGGAAGCAACAACAAGATTAAAGACTTCAGAAGAGAATAGCAGTGAATAGCATGGCTGCTGAGGAACATTTCAGACCTGTCCCTCGTTTGGGAGCAGTATCTAGAAGTTCAGGTCACCACCAGGTCAACTAGACCCGAGGATGCGCAGAAGCTGCCTGTCCTTGGGTCTTCCTGCTCCAAGTGATGTCTCAGCCTGAGCCCCTCGGATGGGAAATTGATTCTAGAACCAAATCCCCATAACTCGGATCTGTTCAAATCAGAGTCTAACAGGTTTCAAATAAAACCAATGGGTTTTACGTTCTGTATTTCACTTTCTATTATTACTATTACTTTTGAGTAGCAGTAGTTTATTAGTAACTACTAAGTGCATGGTTTTAGTGGCAATAAATTCACTTGAACAGGAGACAGTAATGACATGAAAAGAAGACATGTTTGCTACTCGTCAGGAACTGCCATTGAGGCTGTCACGGAGAAGTGCAGAACCACTTGGGCCAAGTCATAAAGAGGACACGTGCTCAGTCCACATGGACCAGGTCCATGCACCTGGAGTCTGGAATTGTGTGGCTCATCACCTGCCAAACAGGACCCACTGGCACATGACATGGCTTTTAAAGAAATTTGATGGAGCCCTGGCCGGTTTGGCTCAGCGGTTAGAGCGTTGGCCTGCAGTCCTGAGAGACCCGGGTTCGGTTCCCGCTAAGTCCTGAGAGACCCGGGTTCGGTTCCCGCTAAGGGCGCGTACCTCGGTTGCAGTTTGTCCCCGGCCCTGGTCGGTTGTGCGGGTGGCAGCCACTCGATGTGTCCCTTTCATATCGATGTTTTTCTCTCTCTCTCTCTGTTCCTCTCTCTCTCTCCCACTCTACCTGAACAAAAAAATGAAAAAATGTCCTCGGGTGAGGATAAAAAAAATAAATAAATAAATAAATTTGGTGGACTGTTGGCGAGATTTCATCTCCTTCCAAACCAGTCACTCTTTCACACATACTGGGTTTGTGGACCACTTGGGCTTTTTGCAATCACAGTGTCACCTCTTTGGATACCGTAAAAATGTCAGCTAAGATTTTCTGCAAAGACAGTGTCTGAGTTTTGAAGTGTAGGCTCCGCTGCTGGCCCCGAGCACATGGCAGCCCCACCTGCGTATCCAGAAGCACAGTGAGCAACACAGCCCTGCGAAGAGTCTAGCTCGGAAGGTTTTCCCAGAGCACCACGGAGCTTCGGCCATGGGTCTCTTACAGTACATTCCATTCTTGGGGCAGTTGCAGAACTTCCAGAAAAACCATCGAAAGCATGTCTTAGAGTGAAAATGGGCGATTCCTAGTTTCAGGATTCCCAGGACTCAGGGGGCCTTTCTCACCTGGGCCCTGGAGAAGTCCCTCTGTCTGATGTTGGTGTTGGTGAGTTTATTCTGTCCTGTCCTTCTGGGGAGAATCTGCCCACTGGGGCTCCACACACTGTGACTGGAGGCATGGTTTACAGTACAGACCACTCGAACATGCAGACCCGGGAGTGCAGTGCGGGGCTGATCTGTGACTGTTTCTTTTCTGGACAGGTAACAGCACCAGAACAAGGGGGCTCAGCATGCAGCCCTGTGTCTCCTTTTTCTTTGGACTCCCCAGATGGAGACTTCGTACTGGAATTCTCTGAGGAGTCCCTGAAAGCGAAGACTTCACCAGGTGACCTTCACTTTCTCAACTTGGAGGGTTGTCCATGTTGCTCGAATATCTGCCTGTAAAAGTTCTTATTGGAGAGAGAATTTCTAACTAAAAACATGGGAGCCAGATCCCATGCCATCCTCCCTGAAGCCCTCCCAGCCTTTCTTCTTTGGGACTTTTCCTGTTGCAGATGGCTCTCCCCTCCCTCCGGCTCAGGTTCCTCCTCTCAGCTGCTGGTCAGCCCAGAAACTCACAGTGTAACCCAGGCCTTGACCCTCTGGCCCCTCCCTCCCACCATTGGTTGACCAGCATAACCTGTTTCCCTGCTTCTGCTGTGGGGGTGGGGGTGGGGGAGTCCTGGCAGTATCAGCAAGCTCTTCAACAGCTGCTTCCCCGGCTGTGTGCTCTGGCCTTGGCTCCTGCATTCTGACTCCCTTTGAGAAACTCCCTGTTTCTCCATGGGTCTCCAGTCACCCTTCCCCTCTTCCCTGCGGTCTCATCAGTTCATCTCCCTGATTCTGGAGCCCTGTTGAATGAGGGGTGGAGCCATAGGCAGTTCTCTGTCATGGGGGTGGTATGACAAAGACCTTGCAGTGCGCATGGGTGCTGGGGGTGGAGTAGGTTAGTGGGTTTGTTTGGCAGAGGAGACAGGTGGGGAGAGTCAGTGTGGGTGGTGGGATGTCGGAGACAGGTGAGGTGACGGTGGAGTGGCAGGTGCCCTCACAGCCACACCAGGAGCCTGATTTTACTGAAGTTTAATTTCTCTGTCAGTGTTGCTTGATGGCTTGTTGAAAGAGTATCATTGGCTCTTCTAGCTTCCCAAGTGATCTCCAGTTTATGTCCAAAAAATAGAAGCTGTCAGGAAGGTGTATTGTTATAAAATAGGAGACGTAGCACTATCTGATAAAAACTCTAAGCTTGTATAGTTCTCATGCATTATTATTCATTCATTTATTTACTTATTTAACAAATATTATTGCTTTTTATATTTTCAGGGATGTATCTGTTACTAACACTCAACCTAAATCTGCCAGAATATGAGTGTACAAAACACAGACTCTTATCACATACCCATAGATCAAACTAAAACTCTTTACTCTGAAGGTCACATATTAACTCATGAGTGTAATATGTAAAGGAAGTTGCAACGACACAGTTTCCTGAACTGGGAACTTCAGTCTCTGGAGAAGGAAATAAGGTTGAGGATAGTCTAGTTGTGGGCTCTCGTCCTGGCTGTCAGTTGGTCGTGTTCCCTCCAGGCCTCAGTAATCTCATCTGTGAAATGGGTGATGATTCCTTTGGCTGAAAGTTCTCTGGGAACTTCAGTGCCATGTAAACAGAAGGTAGTAATTGGGGGAAACTGTTAGCTAAGGGGATAAGAAAAAGACAGTTCCAAGTTCATCAACCTTAAAGAAGTTTCAGTATATTAATTCATCTTTGAAATCTTTATTTTTTTGAGACTAAAACCATTAAATTTTTTTATTTAAAAAAAAGAAGAAAGTTATGTAATTAATTGTTTTCAAGGTAAGTTAGTATTTTTTTGCTTTTCTGTGTATACCCACGATTTTCTAGGGCCTGGGTGATGACCTAAATACATTTTTATTTAGTTGGCTTTTCTCCCCAGTAATGAAGAAGTTTCGTTCCCCGGAGAAGCAGAGCCTTCAGAGGCTCCCTTTGCTAAGTAGAGCACGAGTCCCGCTCCTCACAGTGCCACCATCTGAGGGGCCCCCTGCTGTAGACCCTCGGTCCTGTGACAGGCAGCTGCCTTCTGGTTCTCCCCCGATCTACTTGCGTGAGGAGTCGGCGGCTCTTCCCCTGAGCTCTGGGCCTGAGGACCGGAGTGCAGCCTCTTTGTGTCGAGCATCCAGGGAGGTGACTCCAGGACACGTCTCACGTCTCGATCGAGCGTCTGCTCAAAGCAAGTGGCTAAAGTATCAGAACCCACCGCAGTGCGACTTGACGACCCCAAGCAGACCTGATACAAGCGCCACAGACGGCTTCTTCGCCAAGGCCATTCCCGGGACGTGTTGTAGTGACGCAGGTGAGAGGGAGCACTCCTCGGACTCCGTGAGCCTGCAGGTGGTGAGAGGTGTGCTCCGGCGGCAGCAGCAGCAGGGCGTCGGCTCTCAGGACTTTGTTTGCAGAAAAGAAGCACGTTCTTTGAGGTTAAAGCCTGCTTCTAAGGATGCTCAGAAGGTGCTGGGAGAGTCTGCGTGCTCCACCTGCCATTTGACAGGTGTGCAGGTGAGGAGTGTCCAGTGTCTGCGCACCTCCCAGTCGTCACTGTCTGAATTTCAATGAAGAGCTATGATTTCACTCTTGGAGCTGATGGCTTTTTGATTTTGAGTTTTCCGTAACTCTAGCTCCAGTCCATTTTCTCTGATTTAGGATCATTCCTAGTAGCTGTGAGCTTTCAGTGAAGGGACACCTTTGGATGTGTCTGTGTCTGGTGCAGTATTGAGCACATGGTAGGTTCTCAATCACAGCTCCGCTGTTCCCATCACTCCCAGTGCTGCCGTTGTTTCTGTCTTACTGTCAGCCCAGTGCGCAGACTCGATCGTCACTGAGGACAAGGTACATCCCATACACGCTGACTGTGAGCCACTCTTACAGCTGTCATCAGACAGATGCACAGTGATCTCGTCACATCAGGTGGCCTTTCCAGCAAAGACGATTTAAAACATACTAAGGTCAGACAGGAACAGTTGGTCTCACTTATTAGTAATGCCATGGTAGCCATTTAACCTTAGAAGACCACTTTCAAGGATTCTGGACATTTTTCAGAGTTTGTTTATTTTCTTAAACATATCTATAGAAAATAATTTACTCATCAGTAAATAGCACTTTTTTGTCGTTGTTATAATAACCTGACTTACTCCATTTCAGGAGATAAATGTCTCTGAGCTGTGCTTCCCAAGTGGGCAGAAGATAAAATCAGCTCTCCTTCCCCAAAGGCAGACCCGCATACCTGTGGTTTTCCAGTCGCCTGCCCATTACAAGCAGGTCTTCACGTCCTGTCTCATAGGTAGGCTGTTCCTCTCATGCCCTGTGAGTGGCGCTGCTCAGTGTCCGTGTGGCTGTGAGACGTGAGCGTGTGCTGTGAGCTTTGCCTTAAATCTGCTCCCATGTGTCCTTCAGTATCAGATCAAAGTGGAGCTTGACAGATGGGAAATGACAGTGTTATCTTTATCAGGTTATAGTCTTTATTTTCTTTTAAACTCAGAGTGTCACAATGGTTTTGTTAAGCAGGAACTTTTAAGTATGACATGATTCACCAGCTTGTTCTGCTGTACAGGGCAAAGCCTGCCTGCAAAACGTGGACGTTGGTGTCAAAGGCTCTTCGTAAGCCCACGTGTGATGCGAACGCGATGATTCCGTGTTGCTCTCTCCTGTGTCTTCCCGCAGAGCATCTGAACATACTGCTGTTTGAGTTGGCACAGAGGCTGCACAAGGCTCTTTCCACCGTCGACATCTCGTTTTATACGTCATCGAAAGGAGAGAAACTGGAAACTGGAGAAAACCGTGTGCCATCCTGCCATCATCACCGACCTGCAAAGCTGGTCATGGTTAAAAAGGAAGGTCCAAACAAGGTCTTGCCCCCTCTCCCCTCCTGTCGTCCTCTGGCACTTGCCCAGCAGAGTGAGTCTTGGTGAGGAGCCTGTGCCTGAGGCTTCAGTCACTGAGCGACACCCAGTGTGTCTCACTGGGAGCGGGTCTGTGGTCGGGGAGCAGAACTAGGGGTGGAGATCATCCTTCCTTTTTTTTTTATCCTCACCCGAGGACATTTTTCCATTTTTTGCACAGATAGAGTGGGAGGGAGAGAGAGGAAGAGAGAGAGAGAGAGAGAAACATCGACGTGAAAGAGGCACATCGAGTGGCTGCCACCCGCACGACCAACCAGGGCCGGGGACAAACTGCAACCGAGGTACATGCCCTTAGTGGAAACCGAACCCGGGTCTCTCCAGACTGCAGGCCGATGCTCTAACCGCTGAGCCAAACCGGCCAGGGCAGATCATCCTTCCTGTAGCATAGGGGCTTAGGCAAAGCAGTGGGTGGAGAGGCAGGAGAGGAAATACTCCGCACTGCTGGGGAGGCAGGAGGGCAGCCCGAGCTCCAGGGAGAGCCCACCAGCCCGAGAGGGGAGCCTGAGCCTGGAGGAAGGGCCTGCATCATGGCCAGAGGGACAAAGAAGCATCCTGACTGATTCTCTGAATGTGTCCTGTTACAGGAGAAGTTAGTAAATTGTGTGTGTGCTGATGGGTGGTTTGTCCTCACTGTGAGACCATCTCTCACTCACGGTGACACCCTTTTCCTCCATTGTTAGCATACTGAGTAGGTGAACTTGGATTTAGATATAGTTGTTAAGCAAGAGTTCATAAATAATATTAGAACCATGGAATGAAATGTTATAGAGCCACTAAAAGTTTTTTTTTTTTTTTAAGAATATTTGATGACACGGTTGTCATACTAACAGTATAATGTTGACTGTAAGGGTTAGGTCATAGAGTAGAAAATATATTGTTAATCGAGTTTTAGCTTAAACAACAAAACAACCTACATGTACACTTCAGTGGGAGAGCACGCTGGAGAAACACGCCAGGTGCTCCTCACATTGTCGGGGCAGGTTGTCTGGAGTGGTCCTGTCAGATCTAGAACAAGGCCTTTTACTCTTCAGATAAGCCCGTATTCTCAGAATAAGGTCACTTTGATAAGGAGAAAACAAACTGGAGACTAGGTTGTAAATTTTAATTTATTGTTTGAATTAATGAAAAGATTGAGTTGTATGATGACTAATTTATTAGAGTACATTAATGCCAAGCAACCTTTGTAAAAGCCATAACAAGCATGATACAAGCCCTGGCCGGGCAGCTCAGTTGGTTAGAGCGTCGTCCCGATATGATAAGATTGCTGGTTCAGTCCCTGGCCAGGGCACATACAAGAGTCAACCAGTGAGTGCACCAGTAAGTGGAACAACAGAGCTCGCTCTCACTACAAATCAGTGAAAAGGAGAAACATTTTTCTCACTAAATTGTATTATCTTCTTCCACTTAGGGTCGTCTTTTCTATACCTGTGATGCACCCAAAGGTGACCAATGTAAATTTTTTAAGTGGCTTGAGGAAGTGACCCCAGGACATGTAACACAGGAGCAGTCGCCGCCTGCTGTGGTTTTGGGTGACATAAAGAGCCTTGGCGTGTACTTAAGAAGTCAGAAGCTGCCCCTCTATGAGGAGTGTCAGCTGTTGGTGAGGTGTGTTTACGATAACAGACAGTTGTCTCTCAGTGTATCAGAAAATAGTAACCTCAGTTTGAAGAGATGGAGACAGGTAAAGTGTCTGAAAGACAGAGCACTTCAGAGTTTCCAACGGGGGACAGTTCTCTGGAGCTGGCTTGGGCCCTCCAAGCGTCAAGCTGTGGCAGCAGTGTCAGGTGACCGGGGAGTGCGGTTTTCCTAACCACTGCTGCACGTGACCTCAGTCCCGAGGGACACCCCACGGAAGAAGCCACAGAAAGGGTTTGCTGAGGCAGGGTAGGAGGTGGTGGTCTGTCACCACCAGAACTGTTGGTGTACAGGGTGACATGCTCTTTGGGAACATGTCTCATGGAAGTAGGACCATTCAAAAGCTAAATATAATGAGCATTTGCATAATTTAATAACAACATATGCTGGGAGCTGGGCACTCTTTTAAGCACTTTGCATGTTATTTACCATCATAACGTATAAGATCTGGAAATAATGGGGGTGATTTATTATTCCCATTTTATAGTTATAGCAACTCCTTAGTTGATGAGATACTTTTAGATACTTATTCTATCTCAACGTCTTTTAAAATAAATGATAATTCTGTGAGGGCCGCTGTTTCCTTCTTTTGACACAGTATGTTTTTATTCCATATGTATGTATGAGAGAATATAAACATACACACATCCTGGTTCTTTTATACTGTATTTTAAAACAATTGTACCTTCAAACTTTCAGTTATATGCAAATAAGTCCTGGGTGTGTCATGTGTAGCATGGTGACTATGATTAGTAATACTGGACAGTATAGAGTATACTTGGAAGTTACTAAGAGAGTAAATCTTTTTTTTTTTTTATCCTCACCCGAGGACATTTTTCCACTTTTTTTTTGTTCAGATAGAGTGGGAGGGAGGGAGAGGAAGAGACAGAGAGAAAGAGAGACAGAGAGAGAAACATCGATGTGAAAGGGACACATTGAGTGGCTGCCACCTGCACGACCAACCAGGGCCGGGGACAAACTGCAATCGAGGTACGTGCCCTTAGCGGGAACCGAACCTGGGTCTCTGGACCGCAGGCCGATGCTCCAACCACTGAGCCAAACTGGACTGGCCAGGGCTAAGAGAGTAAATCTTAAAGTTCTCATCGCAGGAGGACAATGCATGACTGGTGTGTCAGCTGCTCACTGTCCAGCACCGCGCGTCTGCAGAGTGTGCTGCGCATCGGAAGCACATGCACGCCATGGTGCTCCAGCTAAGGAAACATTTGCGCCTCGCGTTCAAACTCACTTTTGTTTTTTACTCTTTTTTCAGAAAAGGATTTGATTTTCAAAGAAAACAGCATGGCAAACTGAAGAAGTTTATGACTGTAAATGCTGAATTTTATAATGAACCTAAAAGCAAACTTTATCTTAAGCTGAGTCGGAAGGAAGGTTCTTCGACATACAGCAAAGGTAAGTTGATCAGATCATGTTGGTGACTCAGGTCAGCCTTGCATCTCCGCTACATACAGCTCTGTAAACTCTTTATATAGTTTTCCCAGAATTTAATTACTTTCATTTAGTTAATCAAGAACCTTTAATTTCTCCCAGAGCACAAAAAGTGAAACTTTTGAAGGGATTTAAGTCCTGTTGTCCTTTTAATAACAGTCTGTGATGTACAGAGCAGTCCCGTCCTGAGCGAGTCCCCCCTGGCCTGGCCGCCCAGCAGAAATGCCCTTTCAGCTCTGCCTCCCTTCAGTTGTTCATGTCACTTCCCACCCAGGGCTCCTCGAAAATGTTTCTGCGAGAGCACACGGCCGCGTGCTTACTTGTCGTACATTCTGGTTTAACAGAATTGTTGTATGCAGTGAAATATAAAATCAATTTTTTGGTTGTGTTGCTACATTTAAACAATGTATGTTGCCTGAATAATTGGAATATAATTTGGAAATCCAAAATTGTCCTGGAAAACTAAACAGTCAAAAAGTATAGAATCACAAATAATTAAAACATAATAAAATTAAAAATTAATATGTGTATAATTTATTGTCTGTATACCATAATGAACATCACCATCTTAATCTTAGTTTTGCTAACATTAACTTTTAGCAAAGGTGATCTATTTTAAGTTGCGACAATTTCCTCATATTTTCCCATTATTATTTTAAGTATATCTCAATATTTATTTTCAAGGCAAAGAAACACAAAACCAATTCACTTCATGATAAGCAATAAGGAAATCTGACAGAATCTTAAAATTATTTCATAAAGGGAATAATGTGGGCATGTTTTTAAAATCAATTTATGTAACTAGTGCCATCCTAGTAAGTTAATAAATTAATAAAAAAGGGGGCGAAGTAAAATGGAAAAAAATCAGTCTTATAGTTGATTGATGGAAAGTTTATCTAAACATAACTTGAACACACATAAAAAGAGAAATAAAGACAACAGACTTCCTCCAGCCAATGTGGTCAGTTGATTGAGCATCGTCCGTGCACCGAGAGGTTGCTGGTTCAATTCCTGGTCAAGGCACATGCTCAGGTTGAGAGTTTGACCCCCAGTTGGGGTGCATGCAGGAGGCAGCCAATCGATGTTTCTCTTCTCCCCTTCTCTTCCTTTCTCTCTCAATCAATAAAAAAATATGTTTTTAAAAGATGTATGAGCAGCTTTAAAAAAACACCCACTTGTTTCTCTACCCCACCCCCCAAGAGATTTATTCAAATATGAGTTTAAGTAATGGACTGGTAATAAAAACAGGAAGAAAAGGCATTTTTAGATGGAAAAGTCCAGTCATCAAAGGTGACTTTCCCCTGAAACGCACTTTTTTTTTTAATTTATTTTTTTCCCCTCACCCGAGGATATTTTTCCATTTTTTTGTTCAGATAGAGTGGGAGGGGAGAGAGAGGAAGAGAGAGAGGGAAACATCGACGTGAAAGGGACACATCGAGCGGCCGCCACCGCACGACCCAACCAGGGCCGTGGACAAACTGCAACCGAGGTACGTGCCCTCTGTGGGAACCAAACCTAGGTCTCTCTGGACCACAGGCCGACGTTCTAACCGCCGAGCCAAACTGGCCAGGGCTGAAACACACAACTTTTATTGCTGTCTGCACCTCTTGCTGCTCCCACGAAGGGCCCCAGGCCCTGTGCGTTGTTTCCAGGTCCACTCTGTGTGCTCTCCATGGACTGGTTCTTGGGCTGAGGCTCATTTTGCTTGAAACCTGGGGCTTTGCTTTTCGGAGCCTGTTCTCTGTAGTTTCTTCCAGAGCTTTTAGACCCAGATGAAGACCCGGAAAAACACTGGTCCGAACTTCCGTGCCTCTGTGCTCTTACACCCTCAGAGGTTTTAAATATGTCTTCTTCAGGGACACTTTTTTGGGGGATTTTTGTTCTGAAACTGAAGAATGGCAACTACTTTCCTTTTTTCGTGTCCGTCTGTCTTTCCAAGTGAAGAAGTCATCACCACTCTCAGTGTCCTCAGACATGGAAGACTGGGGCAAAACCATTCTTCTGTGCCGCCAAAACCCTCCTCCCTCCTCGGTGACTCGTCTCCATCACTGCTCCCGCCAAGGGCCTGCTGGAGTCTTTTCATTGTGGGTCAGCTATGTCTTCTGGGGTCAGAGGGGCGACCGGACCCTCTCAGAGGCTTTGGTGGAGGAGCTGGAATGTCCCTTCTTTGGGTCCATGTTCCATCTCGGCTCTTTTTTCTTTTTCACTGGTTTCTTTGCCGGTGTTTTGGCTCCTCTGTCTTTTTGTCGGATTCCTTTGTGCTGCAGCTCGATGGCCTCATCGTCCGAACACCGAGCACAGCATGGTCGTGTGATTGACAGGTCCGTGTTGGGAAATGTATTTCTAGTTCTGGAAAATTGATCTCCATCATTTCTTCAGACGATCTTCTTATTTTTATTTCTCTTGGACTTTTGTAATTCAGATGTTAGCACTTCTGAGTCTGTTCTTAAATCTCTTCACATTTCTTTTGCATTGTCTGGATTATTGTCCTTTCTTCCTTCAAATTGCTTATTTTTCAAATGTATCCATTCTGCTATTTAACCCATCAATTATTACTTTATTTCAACTACCATATTTTCCCAAACCAGTATTTTTGTTCATTTCTCTTTCATAGTTCCTTGCTCTGATTGGCTTCGCAATACCTCTCTTACTTTCCATTTCTGCCAGGCTAACTCGAGTCTTTGTCCATCTGCTCTGGTGTCTCCTGTTCTGAAGGACTCTGAAACCCAGTGTGGTTTTCTCTTAACATCTTTGTGCCCCTTAAATGTCTCATTATTTGGGCCTGTGAACTTATCTCCCTGGGCACCAGCTGTCCTGTTCAGGCGGCGCGTGGGCGGTGGAGCGGCCTGGAGCTTCCAGGGAGCTCCGGGAGTCGGGCTCCGTCCATGTGCCACGTACTGCCCTCTGCCTGGGTGACGTGTTTAACTTCTCTGTCCAGAAAGTACTAATAATGCCTATCTGACATTTAAAAATGTCTGTTGACACAGAACATAGTATAAATTATTGTGTTCTATTAACAACAAAATCCTCATAGATCTGCAACCTGCAGATGGACTCTGATTTTTTGACCTGTTCGTGGTGCCCAGTAGTCATGCGGGTTGCTGCCCCTCCTCGCTCAGAGCCCCTCATCGAGTCTGCCCTGGTGCCTGTGTTAGAGGATACGTTCCTCGTGTCAGCCTCAGGACAGGTGCTGGTGTCACTGCTCAGGAGAGACAGGATTATTCCATCATTCTCGTGTTGCGTCCCCGATGACATTCTGCACCCACAGCCACCTTCCTGGGGTTGCTGAGCTTGGGATCTTCCTGGGATCCGCTGGGAAAAGTCTGTCCCCACCCCCAGTTCCTTTCTGCCATCTGCAAGGATTACAAGCTTCGTAGGATTTCCATTGTTTGTCTCATTTCCTGTGGCTTCCACAAGACACTCATGTCTCTGAAGTGGGAGTGGCTCCCCCGCCGCCGCTGCGCAGTGTTTCAGTGGGGCCTGGGAAGAAGGGAGGGTGCGCAGACTCCTGTCGTCGCTCTTGCAGTAGATGTCTGCTTGCAAATCGTGGTGAATGCTGAATAAAGTAGATATTAGCAAAGGGAATAAATTGTTTAAATACATGTTACCTCAGTTGGCATATTTTTAAATAAATTAGGTATAAAATATACTATAATATAGCTTGGCTTTTTCTATAGTTTCCTAAACATGTTTACTGAAATAATAGTTCTAAGGGTATTGATAAGAGTTAACATTAAAAAAAAAAAAAAGATTTTATGGCTAAATTTTGGAAAGTGCTATGTTAAACTATGTATGACCTCAATCCAAGATTTTTCCGAGCCTTATATTTGTTGCTGTGCATTGGACTTTCCAAGACGGGAATGTAGCTCAGTGATGCTTGGTCAGTTAATTTTAAAAGTTGTCTAAAGTCAGGATTATAAAAAATGCATGTGGCCCTGGCCAGTTTGGCTCAGCGGTTAGAGCGTCAGCCTGCGGCCCAGAGAGACCAGGGTTCGGTTCCCTCTAAGGGCACGTACCTCGGTTGCAGTTTGTCCCAGGCCCTGGTTGGGTTGTGTGGGTGGCAGCCACTCGATGTGTCCCTTTCACATTGATGTTTCTCTCTCTCTCTCTCTCTCCCTCCCGCTCTGTCTGAATAAAAAATGGAAAAATGTCCTTGGGTGAGGATAAAAAAAAAAAAAAATGCATGTGAACATTAAACATTTTATCTTAAAATTTATGAATTTTTAAAAATATGTTTTTTATTGGTTTTAGAGGAAGGGGGAGAGAGAGAAACATTGATGTAAGAGAGAAACATCCATCAGTTGCCTCTGTCTGGTACATAACCCGACGTAGATGGGGACTGATCTCGAACCTGGGCGTGTGCCCTGACCGGGAATCGAATCAGCAACCTTTTAGATACGACACTCAGCCACCTGAGCCACGCTGGCCAGGGCTGAGTATATTTTTATTTAATGATCTTTTGACCAAGAGTGAAGGTTTTTTGTTCAGAAGGTGGGTTTTGATGGAGTCCTCTCCATCGTCCTTCTGTGAACAGGAACCACAGCGCACCAGCCATAGACATGGGCAAGAACTTAGACATTTCTGAAACAATGTAAGTAGAGAATGCTTTAAAATTTTCACTCTCTTTTCTAGTGTTTTATGGTGATCTCATCTGTACTTGAGTCAGAAGCATTTTTTGGTGTTTTGGGTCCCTTTCTTTAAAGTCTCTGAATTGTTCACTTAAGTTTTCTTAAAATAATTTTTCCTTCATACTCAGTGATTCAAACAATAAATGATTAAACTGTATAATTATAACAACAGATACAACTGGTATAAATAACTTTTACAACAAATGCAGTTGACTCTTTTTTTAAAAACTTACCTTCTTTTTTCCTTAATTTGTTTTTATTGATGTTAGAGTGATGTGAGAAAAACATTGATGGGTTGCCTCCTGCATGCATTCCAACTGATCCAACCCAAAATCTGGGTATGTGCCTTGACCAGAAATTGAACCGGTGACCTTTCAGTGCAGAGGGTGATGCTCAACCAACTGAGCCACACCAGCCAGGGCGACAGTTGGCTCTTTTTAAGTGTAAATGCTGCTGGTGGTGGGAATAAGTCATGCTCAGGTGTCCTGAGCAGTGGCTGTGGGCGCACAGCGTGCTGTGGAGGTGGGTGGGCAGCTCTACAGGGAGAAAGCACACTGTGAGCTGCTCCATAGACTCAGTGTGTGGAGGTCTGGTAAGAAAACATGGATTCCACCCATGGGTTTCTGACCTTATTTGAGCATGGAAAACCACTGTGTGGTAGAGCATCTCTCTAAAACAGCACTTGTCCAACGGTGTGCTACAGGAATTTTTAAAACACACGGGCTCTAATCTCTTTTTCCTTAGATTGTCAAATAAAAAAATGATAAAAACCAACACAACAGCCATCTGGAGTGAGTGAATCAAATTGTAACCTTTTTTTTCCTTGTCAGATTGGGAAAAAACCTAATTTTGGTGTGCTACAGAATTTCTGTAATTACTTTATGTGTGTCATGAGATGAAAAAGATTGAAAATCGCTGCCCTAGAGTAATAGTCTACCTTGGGAAGTCTGGTGTAGCTATAAAGCTGTTTTAGAAGAGAAAGATGAGTTAGATGTTGTCTTTGCTTTAATTATACTTTCTTATGGTGATAAAATAACTTTAACATCGTAAAATTAATCTAGTCAAAAATGTGGAAATGAAATGTTACATGTTCAGGTCCTAGTTTGGGTGGAATCTTACAGATGGCAGTAACTAATTCTGTTTTCTTGAGAAATAATGAGGGACTAAGCATCTGAGAAATCCAAAGTAGCTCTGGACTGAAGGTAGTTCTGAGTCCTTTAAATGTGTGTTTTTCAGATGATCTGTGGGTGGTCTCCAAAACCCTGGACTTTGAGTTGGACACTTTCATTGCATGCAGTGCTTTCTTTGGGCCAACGTCTGTCAACGAGGTGGAGCTGCTCCCTTTGAAAGGCTACTTCCCCTCCAACTGGCCAGCAGACAGTAAGTATCGCCATGCCCGCCTTAATTTATATTAGAAGAGAAGCAGCCATGAGCCACACTGAGCAAGAATGCTAACTTGTGTGGAATTGTTTGATTAAAGCCAAGAAAAAGCACCTGCTTCTGCCTCCTGCTGTTGTGTCCCTGCCTGAAAAGGTGCATGGCAGTTGAGTATGTAACTATTTCTGCAGTTCAAGTCCCAGAGGGCTATGAGTGCAATGAAATCTTGTCCCTCACTTAAGTATTTTGTTGAAGTTTAATTTCCACAGCATATACCTGATTTTCAAATAAGAATTTTGTCAAGTAAGTTCTTGTATCACGTTCTAATTCTCTGAGTTTATTTAATTCCCTTGGTATATTATTCTAATAGGGTATGTTGTAAAGAAATTATTTATGTTTACATCAAGAAGTTCTCAGATTTTGCAGGAGATTTGAGAGCAGTTGAACAGGAGGGTGTTTTTTTTATCCTCACCCAAGGACATTTTTGCATTTATCTTCAGATAGAGCGGGAGGGAGGGAGAGAAACATCGATGTGAGAGAGACACATTGACTGGCTGCTACCCTCACAACCCAAACTGGGGCCGGGGACACACTGCAACTGAGGTACGTGCCCTTAGTGGGAACTGAACCCAGGACTCTCTGGTCTGAGGGCCGATGTTCTAACCACTGAGCAAAACCAGCCAGGGCAGCAGAGTGTGTTTTATTTCCAGGGGTGCTATCATCTGCCCTGGGAAGCTCTGGGTGAGGCACAAGGCCACAGCCTGACTCACTGAAGGAGCTGAACCTACCCTGTGTATGAATCTGGGCACCTGCATTGTCCGCTCTGGAGTAACTTCTGAGGCCGGATTCGGTCATGACTAAGACACAGTATTCAGTGACTCATTCCAGTATCTCATTAACGTTTTATTTATTTCTTTAAAAGAATAGTTGATTGATTTTTAGAGAGAGAGGAGGGGAGAAGAGAGAAACGTGACTGTGAGAGCGCAACATGGTGGGCTGCCTCCTGCCCGGAGCCCACACCCAGGCACGTGCCCTGTCTGGAACGAACTGTCCAGATGTACAGGGCCCACCCACTGAGCCGCACCTGCCAGGGCTCGCATGCGGGCTTCACGGCCATGTTTTCTGTCTGAACTCAGTAGGCCCACTGAAGCCGTCACCTAGTTAAGTGGACATTTGTCACTTTGGATGCATCCTCAGCACCTAATTTCCTGCTTCCCTACAGTTCCATGAAGTAATTGAGGGGGAAATGCAAACAAATGATTGAAAACGGCACAGATGTTGCAGGCACAGGGCAGTGTGCCGACTGGACGGCTGTAGATGGCGGTCGCAGTGTCTGTCCGTCAGCTACTATGCCGGGCCTTGCCCCTTGGGGTGCAGCGGGACCCGCACAGGGCGCATGCGCAGAGGGCAGGTGGCCCGCGCATGTGCTGAGGGCTTGTTGGCCGTCCTGGGATTCGGGCAGCAGCCCGCTCTTAGTGGGCACGCTAGGGCGCTTACGGGCCCTTTCAGGCGCACTGAACGCTCGCTCTCTGCGTCCTCTCTGCAGCAGTGGTCCACGCGCTGTTGGTCTGCAATGCCAGCTCGGAGCTGACCACCCTGAGGAACCTGCAGGACTACTTCCGTCCCGCCGCTCTGCCGCTCACCCCGCACCTGCTGGCAATGTAAGGCCTCGCGTGCGGGTCCTGGGGCTTCGGGAACAGGGACCAAATGCGGACGTGAAAATGCAGTATGAGTCCGTTCGGAAATTTTGCCGGCAAAGTTTTGTCTTTCGGAGACTCTGAGAGTACTGTCTTTGTCAGTAGTTGAAAATTAAGAGAGAAAGACAGATGCACATTGTTTCCCATCAACACCCATCTGTTCCCCCATCTGTCTGGACGTGGTGGTTGGGGCTCATAAATGCTCCTGCAGTTTTCCCCTATGTCAAGGAATGATTTCTTAAGGATCATTTGAGTATTGATTTTTTTTTAATTCATCTGTATTTTTATGCTACAAATTACTTGACATTAATAAGAATTATTTTACAGTATCAAAGTGTCATTTTATATACCTTAAATTTAGTGTTATATGTCAGTCATTCATTTAAAATTTTTTAAATAATTATTTTACATCCTAAATCCAATATGTATATTGGTACTAGTTTTATTCTTGACATAATCTGTATCTCATTTTTAATTTTTCAAGCACACATGCCCCCTTTTAAAGAATTGGAAGTGACATTTTATTAAATTAATGAAAATGACCAAAACACTAGTCTCGAATTTAGAATGTTATAGTCTATCTGGTAGAGGTTTGTTTTTCTTATCACAATGAAGTCCTAGGTTAAAATAAAATCAATATAATTTCAATATGTTGTTTTTCTACTTGGAAATAAATTCAGTATTTATAGAGCTAAAGCCAGCTTCTCTCTGACAGTTGTGTCAGTTCTGAGCCAGCTTGGGCTTCAGTGTCGACGTCCCATTGGTGCTGAGCACTTTGGGGAAAACATTTAATATTCCGTGTCTGTGTGGGTAAATTAACCTTCCCAGTATTACTGTGAAGATTACAACAAATAACATATGCCATACTTAGCACAGTGTCCGCATGTAGCAAGTATTCAACAAAGTAGTTCTTTTCTCTCCTACCCTCTCCAGATTGGAGTATACATACATCTGTGCCCACAGAAAGATGTCCTCTGAGATGCTTATAAAGTGAAGGTTAGGTTATAAATAGGTCTACTCACCTATTTCAAACCCCTCATTTTTCTTTGATTTTATTGGCTGCCTTTTTACTAGGTCTTCGTCAACTACCGTTAGCAGCAAGAGAGGCGATAAAAGAACGTTTATCCCACCGGCCTTCTCAAGTCCCCACACAAAGTGCGACCTGCCCAGCCTTGGAGCAGCTCTGCAGTTAGCTAGTGACGTAATCCAGGCACACAAGTTGAACGAGGACCAAGCTACAGCTCTCACCCAGATAGCTCGGATGGTGGCGTCACAGGGACATGCGGAGGATGAGAAGGGGCTGTGCGCCAGCACCCCCCCCATCACCATCATTCACGGTGCGGAGCGGGAAGGGTGGTGCTGATCACGCTTGTTGTGTGCAGCCCGTCTGCGGTCAACGCCTGGTTGTGTTCAAGCCTCTAGCTCAGTCTGCCCCTGGTGAGGCGCGGTTTCAGAAGAACTCTAGAGAGATGTAGGCTGGAAGAGCACACTTGAGGGATGAGTAGCGCTGTGCACCCATCCCCCAGTCACAAACACAGTAGAGGAGTCAGCTCTGATGAGCGAAGCCTTTATGAGCTCCTGGTCAGCCCTGGGGCCAGGTCCCTCTGGCTGGACAGCTCTGCGCTACTCCCTGCCAATCTGCTTTGTGTTTCAGCTCAGCCAGGGCATGCAGTTTTCAGTCTTTGCTGGAAAGGAGCAGTGTACCCCCAGAGCCAGAGGGGAACTGGCTCAACCAGAAGTCTCCACCCCTGATCCCCGATTGGTTCATCCTTATGCAAAAGAGGACTCCAAAGTGTCAAAGTTTGATTGATCCAAAAGGCACTATCCTGATTGGTCAGAGCTGCACAACTCATATTGGAGGGGGAAAGCCATTCCTATTGGTTGAAGTAGGATCTCAGGACTCCTCTGTAAGGCCTGGCTCAGATGGCTGACACAGGACAGGCAGGCAGTTCGGTTCAGGCTTCTCCCTGAAGTCCGGTGTATGGGAGAGCCCCTGTGTAGAAATGACTGCAAGGCTCTGTTTTTTTTAATTTGAGTCCAATTAGCCACCAGAAGACCTTCTTAGGTGTCTTCTTTCTCAGGGTTCACACTTTATATTTCCACTCAACTAATTTTACCAAAACAATCTGATTACATCCTTTTCAGTGCTTAAGGGCCTTCAGGACAGAATCCAGTGTTTTAGCCACAGCAAGAAGAACCCTTGGCACTTGCCCCCTGGCCCTCGGCAGCCCCGTCCCTGGCCTGTCTGCTGCAGCTGTAGAAGTGACAGCTGCGTGCCCCTCTGGGCTCTGCCTGCGATAACCCTGTGCTCAGGGTCTGCGACGCTCCCCTGGGGACTCAGTTCTGCTGCTCGTTTGTAGAACGGTCCCCACCTCCGCGAGTCAGGTGTTCCTCCTCTGATACACCCACACTGTGACTCACACGCTAATTACCTCTTATTCAATGTATTGGCTACATTCATACCATTATATAAGTTTCGGGAATACAAGGTGTGATTTGACATCTGTGTACTGCAGTCTAGTTTCCTGCCATCGCATTCATTTGACCCTTTGCTGACCGCCCCCCCCCCCCCGATTGTATCATTGTTCCTTTTCTTGTCTGTGTTCCCAAGTAGACTGTGGTCTCACTAAGAGGTCTTTGGTTATGTATCTACTGATCCCTGTGCTGAGCACTGGATCATGTTTTTTGAATGGATTACTTAAATGAGGGAGAGAGGGAGATAGTGAGATTATTTCTTGTGCTTTCAGAAATTTATTTATGTGATTTCTTTATTTTTCCCCTTTCTTCCAAACAATTAGGTGTTTTTGGAGCAGGGAAGAGCTATTTGTTGGCAGTGGTGATTTTGTTTCTTGTGCAGCTATTTGAAAAGAGTGAAGCTCCTACAGCTGGGAGTGCAAGACCATGGAAAGTTCTGGTTTCTTCCTCCACTAATGTAGCTGTGGACAGAGTGCTCCTTGGGTGAGTATGGCAAGAGTGTTGGTGTAGCTTGTTGAGAGGCTGTCTTCCTTGGGCCCAGAAATGCAGGGCCTTTGTCTCTGACTCGAGCAACATCAAGACAGTAAGAGGCTGACTTCCTAGTTTGTAAGTTGTAGAAAATCAGACGGTGTTGGCACAAGGATAGGATACCCCTCATGCAGAAATCTGAGTCCAGCCAGGAGCACGTGGGGCTGAAAGGTGTATTCCCACTGGGATGCTGAGTACGGGGCCCTGACCACCCTGACCCAGCACAGGCCTCAGGGTCATGTTGGCAGCCTCGCCTGAGGAGCCGGTGTCTCCCCCCAGACCAGGAGCCTCGCTCACAGAATGTTATAAACTCCTGGGTCCCCAAGCTCCGTGTTCCTCCTACAGCTCAGCCCGCTGCAAGTGCAGAGCCCCTGGACCCCTGCTCTTCCCGTCGGACTCAGGGCCCACAGGAGCCAGCACAGATACATGTCTTTGCTGGTCCTGTGCTCTGAGTAGAAGCCCTCGCCCGGGCCTGTGGCCTGGGAAGGAGCTGGAAGTGCAGAGGTGCACACAGGTGAAACGGCTGAGAACTCAGTTATGTTTCTGGTTTCAGGAAGAGGGCTCTGAAGAAGGCAGCAGCACGGCCTGTTCTGCAAAGTTTTTGTGATTGTTTAATATTGTATTGAAAATGTAAACAAGCCCTGCCGGTGTGGCTCAGTGGTTGAGTGTTGACCCAGCACCAAGAGGTCAACGGTTTGATTCCCAGTCAGGGCACATGCCCAGGTTGTGGGTCAAATCCCCAGTGGGGGGCATGCAGGAAGCGGCCAATCGATATTCTCTCTCATAGATGTTTCTATCTCTATCTCCCTCTCCCTTCTTCTCTCTCTAAAGTAAATAAAGAAAACAACTTTTTTTTTTAAATAGGTAAATAAAAATGTAAACAAGCCCTGGCCAGTTTTGCTCAGTGGTTAGATCATTGGCCCTTGGACTGAAGAGTCTCAGGTTCGATTCCTGGTCAAGGGCACGTACCAGGGTTTCACGTTCCATCCCCAGCCCTGGTCGGGGTCCTACAGGAGGCAGCCAATCAATATGTCTCTCTCACATCGATGTTTCTCTCTGTCTTTTACTCCTCCCTTCCACTCCAAAAAATCAATGGAAAAATGTCCTTGGGTGAGGATTAAAAAAGTGAACAAAAGATTACATAAGATTTTACCAGTATTACAGTGTTTAATCTGAATTTCAACATAGATGACAAAGTTTGATTAGGAGAAATAATTCCTTATGTATGAATGTAGACTTTTTAAAACAAACTTTATGGTAAAAATATGCAGTCTACATAGATACTATGTTTCTTTACAGATTTTTTTTTAAAAATTTTATTTTTCCTTTATTGATTTTAGAGAGAGAGGAAGGGAGAAGGAGAGAGAGATGGAAACATCAATGAGAGAGAACATAGACTGGCCGCCTCCTGCATGCCCCCACTGGGGATCAGGCCCACAACCTGGGCATGTGTCCTGACCAGGAATCGAACCGGCAGCCTCTTGGTTCATGGGTCAATGCTCAACCACTGAGCCACACTGGCCGGACTCCTTACATATTTTTTATACATACACATACTCATTTTGTTTTCCAAACTTGGTATGAACAGTATATATTGTTTTATGTCCTGCTTTTAAATCTTAGAAAACATAATTTTTATAGCTCTGTTACATGCAGTGACTTGCTTATACCATACTTCAATTAAGCAATACTTGATTGGTTGGTTCTTTCCAAATTTTCCCCATTATATGTAACATTGTGACAAAGACCCTTAGACATGAACCTTTGTCTCCGCTTCTGTTTCTTTCTTAGGAAAAGGCCCTTGTCCTAGAATGAAAGATAGGATTGTCCTGTGTGAGCTCACCCTTCAGAAAGACTCCCTGAGTAACATCTAATGAGCTCTTGGTGTAAAATAGTGCATATTTTAAAATCCTCTATAAGAAGTATTATCTCAAAAACTCTTTCAGCCACATTGCGAAGCATTTCACAGTGAATCATGTAATTAAAAAATAGTTACACAAAATCAGTTTTAATAACATGAATATTACACGAAACTTTGTTTTATACTGTCTAAATAATCAGAATCTGTTTTACCTTGTTTTGTTTAAAGGCTCCTCAGTCTTGGATTCGAAAAGTTCGTCAGAGTTGGGAGTGTTAGGAAGATTGCCAAGCCAGTTCTACCCTACAGGTGAGATGCTTAATCCCCAGTCACAGGCTGCTCACAGAAGTGTGATTTTAAATAGCTCTTACTTTGAACTTTGGTTTCTGAAGAAGAGTAGAGAAAGCCTTATCTTTTTTTTGGTTAATTTAGGAAATCTGTATTTAACTGTTTCATAATGTCGTGGAAATGAAATAAAGAGGGTGTTTCTATGTTATTCTTCATTAGCTTGCATGTTGGCTCAGAAAGTGCGAATGAGCAAATAAAAGAGCTGCAGGCGCTGATGAAGGAAGATCTGACTCCACAGGAAAGAGTCTGCGTGAGGAGAAGCATCGAGCAGCATAAACTGGGGACCAACAGGACCCTGCTGAGGCAGGTGAGGGAGCCAGTGTCAGCTCGCCCCTTAGTCCACCGAAGCTGTTCAGACCCTCTTCGTCCAGCTGATGGAGAGGTGTCCTGTGGAGAAGGCAGTTGGCGATCACAGCTCAGGTGTAACCAAGGTGTGCAGGTGTCTGTCGGGCACACTTTGTTTTACTGCAAAGCAGTACGAATTTGTGAACAGACACACCTGACCATGACTGAGCCACCTTCTCCCTCCTCCCCGTCGGTGTGTCCTCCCCCTCCTCCCCGTCGGTGTGTCCTCCCCCTCCTCCCCGTCGGTGTGTCTTCCCCCTCCTCCCCGTCGGTGTGTCTTCCCCCTCCTCCCCGTCGGTGTGTCTTCTCCCTTCTCCCTGTCGGTGTGTCTTTTTGGTCCTGAAGAGGGAAGTGAGAAGGTAGCAATGTAGTCCTGGCAAGTTAAGTGAAACTCCGTTTTTTTCTAGGAGAAATAGACCCTGGGCACAATATCCAAGTGAAATGTATCTTTGGTGCTCCCTCAAAAGCCAAGCCTTTCAGGGTGTGTCTGTACCCAAGAGTCCAGGAGGCTCAGACACTTGTTCTAGATGTTGGGAGCCCACACTGGACATGTCAGTTCCCAGCTGGAACAGCAGCAGCATCACCTTCCTTTGCCAAGTTCTGATCCAGGGCAGCCTGGGCGCCAGCTGGTGGAGAAAGAAATCACTTAGTAGCCTCCTGCTGTGAAAGGAGAGCTGGGGAGAAGCAAGGGGACGGAAGGAGAGGGTTGTGGTGTGTTGGACCATGTAGATGTTGGTTACTTTCTGCAAGAGATTTGAGGAAATCAACCTGTTTGGGACTCTGTATTTGTCAGCTATTGCTGAAGTAATGCTGCTTAACACAGAGAAACTCTGTTCCTCATGACAACAAACTTGAGACTCCTCAGGGCAGTTGATGTGGCTTTTTCTGAGAACAGTTGCCTCTGGCAGATGATGGAAGTGCAGAGGGCAGGCTGGACCACAGTGTCACACAGCTTCTGCTCACGTCCTGCTGCTAGCATCTGTGCCCGGGACAGGCCACGTGGCCCAGCCAGCACCCTGGCTCAGTATGCGGACTGTGCCCACTTCTGTGTGGGGCACTGCAGAGTCACAGGGCGGATGGGAGGAGGGGCCTGGTGACCACCTGCCACAGCTTTGGGTCCAGAAGTCCTCAGAAGGTTCGCACCAGCCTGCTGAGCCTGAGTTGGTGTTGGCTTCACTCCCGCCACCAACCCGCAGGGCTTCATACGGCTGTGGTCAGTCAGCACACAGTAGCTGTTCATGTAAACTACCATTTTACTCGCTGAACATCATGTTGCTATGAAGATGGTTTCCCTGATAAGTCTCTGTGTGAGCCCGTTACTGTGAAGTGGTGTCTCCTGTTCTCACATGAAAGCTCTTTTAGAGGAAACGCTTTCTTAAGTCTAACGGATTCCCAGCTACACATTCAGACCTGACACATTCCTCAAGTGACATCTTTTTTTTTTTAATCCTCACATGAGGATATTTTCCCCATTGACTTTTAGAGAGGGAGGGAGGGAGAGAGAGAGAGTGAAACATTAATGTGAGAGAGACACATTTATCAGCTGCCTCCAGCACAACCCTGACCAATTCCGGGAATCAAACCTGTAACCCAGGTACGTGCCCTTCACCGGAATCGGGCCTGCGACCGGAATGCGGACGCTCCAACCACTGAGCCAAACTGGCCAGAGCTAAAGTGACACCATTATAGTAAAACTAATTTTTTAAAATGCTTCATAGTTAATCACTTCTTTTGCTGTCTGAATCTCAGCAATGTAATGATAAATTAAAAGATACAAATAATATTTTTTTAAAGAAAAAACTTTTTTATTTTTTTGTATTAGGTATTTTTTAAAATAAAAAATTGCTTTCTGATTCACAACTTCAGGTTCTCATGCCAGTAGCAGGAACCAGGTGAAGAATGGTGGGGGAGGGGCCGCTGCACAGCCTCCGCCCTCTACTGGGTCCACAGGCTGCAGGTTCCAATGCAAAAGGCCTTCAGGGCTTTCGTTTTGTGAAGAAGAAAACCTAACTGACAGCTATTATGCGCGTTGGATATTACTTACCATTGGAGAAAAGAAACTGCTTATTATGTTTTCCTGCTTCACAAGACGCTAGAGGCAGCATTTAACTGTGAAACACATCTGCTGTCACTCACCTTTGTTGACAGAAGGTATGGTCAGTGTGTGTGGCCTGCCCTTGCTGCCAAGAAATGTAATTATGCTTCAAACTGTGAGATGAGAAAGAAATAAATGTCTCTGTGTGCGTATGAAATGTGCATATATGTGTATTTGCGCTTGTGTGTGTGTGTGCACGCACACAGCATATACATATACACATAGACTACTAGGCCAGTGACCACATCTAATTAGAAAATTCATTGATTTTCATCTTTTATATTTAGTTCCAGAGATTAAATACTAGCTTTTATCAGGTTTTTTGCCTTGAATAATGGTATCTTGGTATAATATTTAAGTCTGTAACAGTAGCTGTAAACTTACAGCTACAAGTGCATTGAATGTGCTGTTGTTCAGAGTCAGTCGGCTGTGTTTCCCTTCTTAGTAATTCAGGTTACGAGTGTGCTTGACGGTTGACCAGTCCGTTCATCAGCGTGTCCAGTGTGCTCCGTGTAGAATTTGGCCTGTGCTGTGTTTATTCAGCCTCATCTAGAAGGATGAATATGTATGTTATCCTTGACATTTAATAACCCCAGGTATTGCCCAGCTGGTGTGGCTCAGTGGTTGAGCATCGACCCAGCACCAAGAGGTCTCTGGTTTGATTCCTGGTCAGGGCACATGCCCAGTTTGTGGGCCCGATCCCCAGTTGGGGGTGTGCAGGAGGCGGCCAATTGATGTTGTCTCTCATTGATGTTTCTCTCTCTCTCCCTCTCTCTCAAAAAATCAATAAAGAAAAATAAAAATAAAAAACCCGGGTATTATAATACCTTACTCTTGAATGTCAAAATGTGCCTTTTATTAATAGGCTATGGCTTAAATAGCTGTATTCTGTAATTGCCATTTTTTTTTCTTTTCTTTTTTTAAGCTGGGAACAGTGAACGAAGAAAGGGCCTACGATAGAAGAAGCAACAGGAGAGAGATTAGACAGGGTTGCTTTGGCTCTCCAGAAATGTCACAGAAAAGAAAGAAACAGGCTGAGCTGCTCTGGCTCACTGAGAAGTCAGAGAAAGGGGGACCTTGGGGACAGGTTCAGGGGGTTGGCCTGGGATGAGCTGCCGCTGCCCATTGCCCTCCTGGTAGCAAGTCTTGTGGGGTCCTAGAGTTCAGGAGGTGCACGCCCGTGGGGGAGGAAGGGGGCGAAGAGAAAGATGTGGGCATGCTCCTGGGGCGGGGGTGGGGGGGCTTCGAGTTCATGTCTTATGTGGGAATAGTGGAAATGTGGACATAGTGATCTGTCCTTTCTGATTGTAATTCCACTTGCAAGTTCTGGTTTTACCTGCAAGTTCCTTGGTAAATGCACCCTCTCATTTTTTCGAGTATCTGTAACTGTAACATTCTCCCTGTGCGGAAGGTCCCCGTGGTTGGAGTCACCTGTGCGGCCTGCCTGTTCCCGTGCATGAACGAGCTGAAGTTCCCTGTGGTGGTGTTGGACGAGTGCAGTCAGATCACTGAGCCGGCCTCTCTCCTTCCCATCGCAAGGTGCCTGCAGTCCTTCCCCCGCACTCGGTGTCACATGGTCCAGACATCTCCCCAGTTCAAATCTGAGAAGAGTCTTAGCAATTCAAGGACTAAACTGATTTTTTTTTTTTTAAGAATGCAGAGGGAAATTGGGGATGGGGTTAATGTATCAAAATCGTGTTAGATCTCAGTTTAGACATCCGGATGGCGTGACCCCTCTCTAGCTGGGATTCCTCTAGAATCCGAAAGGTGCCTCTTCGGCCCTTGTCTGACAGCCAATCCGGGATGTTCTCCAGTTGCCTTACTTTCATATAAGCTCATGTTCACTTTCTGAAAATGATTTTACATTATGAAAGGTATAAAGTATGTAAAGAAAGATAAGTTGAAAATGACAGTTTGTCTTAAACTTAGAAGACTGAGCTGTCTCAGCCACTGAAACGGTGCTTTCAGAGCATGGCTCACTAAGGGTCCTGCCGGCGGCTGACGAGGCCTGTCCCAGGTGAGAAGGGATGGTGAGCGGGGTGGGCAGGCTCCTGCGTCGCCAGGCTTTCACTGTGTAAGCTGAGACCGTCCTGAGCAAAGGGGAGAGTACCTGGGAGCAGGAATGGAGGAATGCCAAGGCCCCGCGCAGAGGGCGGAGGAACCACACATTGTCCATGTGCTTCATTAAATCCTCAGCACAGCCACGCAGGGTACTACCACGCCCAGGCTCCGGGCAGAGCACTGATGCCTGGAGAGATTAAATGACTTGCTGTGTTCCCAGACCCAATCCCAATGTAGGGTGCAGGGGGAGCTCCCCACACCTCCAACCAGCAATCCTCCGACACCAGCTGAGGGTCCAGACAATGCACTTCTGACGCCACCTTCCCACAGACCATCAGAGCCACAGGCTCAGGCTCCGTCCTGCAGGCCCACTGAGATGCCGGCAGCCCTGGGCTTCTGACCCACTGGGCACAGAGCAGGGGTTCCAGTGACCCCTCAATGCAATGCCAGTCGCAAGTCTGGGTTGTCAGCTGGGCTTCTGACCCACTGCGTATAGACCAGAGGCTCCCATGACCCCTGCTTGGGTTGCATTAAGTCTTCAGTGTACTCACAGAGCTCAGAGGAACATATTACCAGCTCACCAGTTCCCTGTGAGGCCCTCACTCAGGAACAGCCCCGTGGGATTGGTGCACAGGACAGGTGTGTGGGGAAGGGGCGGGGCTTCCAGGCCCTCCCGGCAGCCCTCTCCCCACATCTCCCCGTGCTCACCAACCCCGAGCTCCGAACCTTTTGTGTTTCTACAGAGTCTTCATTAGGTACACATGATTGATTGGCTCATTGACCACTGGTGATCGATTCAACTTCCAGCCCCTCGCCCCTCCCTGGAGGTCCAAGATTGGCCTGGGACTGAGAGTTCCATCCCTCCAACCACATGGTTTCCCTGGCAACCAGGCCCATCCTTAGGTGCTTTACAAAAGACGCCTCATTCACAGAACAAAAGACCTTGATCACTTTCAACACTTGGGAAATTCCAGGGGTGTCTGAGGCCATGAGCCAGGAATTGTGGGTGAAGACCAAATGTGTATGACAAAGAGATTTTGGTCATCTGAATGACCGAATATATATTTCTTATAAATTACAATGTTGCTGTTTTTCTACAAAGTTTGGGTGTTTTTCTCCTGTCTTCTATTTGGAGAGACATTTAGCCCCCGAGAGCTTAATTTACTAGAAGGAGTTTAAGCCAAATGACTTCTAAGAAAGCTTCTAAGTCTACATCTATAGATTTTAGAAATCATTGTTTCTCAAAGTGCGCTCTGTGAAATACTCTGTGCAGAGGAGGGGACACTTAATAGGCTTTATGTGGGAAATAAAGGATTTCTTCACTGCATAACTTCAGGCTGCTTGATTTACTTCCTAGCACTGTTAGCCGTGTTCCCGGGGACCGTGGGGGAGCCCTTCGCGTGCACTTTAGCACAGCGCCCTGCGCGTCATGCGTCCCCTGCTGCTCCGTCTGACTTCTGGGTTCTTTTCCAGGTTTGAGTGTGAAAAGCTGGTTCTTGTTGGAGATCCCAAGCAGCTCCCTCCCACCATCCAGGGATCCGACGCAGCTCACGGGAATGGGTTGGAGCAGACCCTCTTCGACCGACTCTGCTTGATGGTACTGCTGCTGCCCCACCGGAGGACCATTCCCGCTGTGCACTGCGCAGGCCGGAGAAAATGGAGCACAGCACCGAGCCCTGCCCTGAAATAGCATAACTGGGGTTGTTCAGAACACACTCCTGTTAAAGACAAGTAGAACCCACAGCTGAAGTGCCCCTTTATAAAATGAATCTTTTTCCTGTATATTTTAGTAGCAGGTAGAAAGTATATCGCTTTGCTCTAAAATAAAAAGCTATAATCTCTGTTATCATGCCCCTGCTTTAGAGCTGACCTTCTCAGCTGACTGCTAACAGGTGGCCTCCGCAGAGCATCGAACTGGCCACTTCACGTACGTGGTGTCCCTGCAGTCTGCTGGGCGGCCACCCTCCCTCTGTCTGGGTCCTGCACACTTCACCACCCAACAAGCCCCGCTCTGGCTCCTCTCCGCTCCTGCTGCCCCCGCAGCACCTGCACCTGTCTGCTCGCGGTCTGCGTGGGTCTGTCTGTTCTGCACATGTCACCAGTCTTACCACTCACGTCACGCAACATGGCCTGTACAGTGCGTGGCCTCCTGTGACTGGCTTTCTCTTCGCACATCCTTGAGTGTCTCCGATCGCAGCACATAGAAAGCTGTCACCTTGCAGGGCCCTCATTCAAGGGTGTGCGTCCCAAGGCCCCAGTGGACTGTTTTTCCTGTACACACAAGGCACTCGGTGGCTTCTGTGGCACATTTCAGATCCCCAGCATCACTGCTCTCGCACTTTGGGCCATTGTTAAGAAGGCCAGGTGGCTGGACACAGCCCTGTGATGCTGTGACGGCTCACCTGGTAACACGGGTGAGAGCCCGCCCGGCAGTGTCTGCAGGGAGGGCACGTGGACCAAGGGGTGGTTCAGGCCTGGGACAGCAGGACGGAGGGAGGCTTCACCTACCTGCTAGATAATAAGTCTGAGGTCTGACGCATTCTGTAATTTATAATGTTGTGGTGTAGTAGTCACTCACCATGAAAATACTTTTAGTAATAAAAAAACTTATTTTTTGGCTACTTTATCATGTTTCTAATTTACTAAGAGCACAATATGGCAATACTTTTAATTTTTAAAATATTGTTTTTTTCCTTCAAGAAAATAATGCTGTTCTAAGTTCTTATTTTTCTTCATTCAAATTTCTCAGGGTCACAAGCCAGTTCTGCTGAGAACCCAGTACCGATGTCACCCTGCAATCACTGCCATCGCTGACGATCTGTTTTACGGCGGGAACCTCAGGAACGGTGTCTCAGAGGCCGAGAGGAGCCCGTTGCTGGAATGGCTGCCAACGCTGTGCTTCTATGATGTCCAGGGACACGAGCAGGTGCGTATGTCAGTGTGGATGGCCCTGCACGGCTGGCTCCTGGTTAATGTTGGGTTCTGGTTTGTCGGACTTTCTTGGTCTTTCCTCGCCTTTCTGGGAAATGTAATTTCGGGTCTGTTTTTGTTCCAGATGGACGGAGGTAACAGCTTTCATAATGAGGCAGAAGCAGCCTTCACACTGATGCTGATTCAATCACTGGTGGCAGGCGGAGTCGAGGCCTCTGCGATCGGGGTGGTGACGCTGTACAAGTCCCAGCTGCGCAAGGTTTGTGCTGAATCCTGGGACGTCACTGTGCACCAGATACTGCAGAGTCCTACCGCAGGGTTCGATATTGCACCCGTAAGGGTTCAGTTTAGTGCTTGAAAGTCATTTGGGCCCTGCCGGTTTGGCTCAGCGGTTAGAGCATCAGCCTGCGGTCCAGAGGGACCCGGGTTCAGTTCCTGCTAAGGGCATGTACCACAGTTGCATTTTGTCCCTGGCCCTGGTTGGGTCATGTGGATGACAGCTACTCGATGTGTCACTTTCACGTCGATGTTTCTCTCCCTCTCTCTCTCTTCCTCTCTGTCCCTCCTACTCTGTCTGAACAAAAAGTAGAAAAATGTCCTCGGGTGAGGATGAAAAAAAAAGTCATTTGGGACCTAATCAATGTGTTCAAAAATAACTATTCTGACTTTTGTCTGGTCTAGCTTTTTTGCTGTATAATTAAATGTAAACCTAACAGGGTTTAATTGAATTCAGTTTACAGCTGTTGGGGCAAAAATGCAAATAAACAAATTAGAGGGAAGGAAGTATGGTGTGTGCTTTGTGTCCGGGGCAGATGGTGAGTCTCTCATCCAAACTGCTCTCGTCTTTGTTACATTTTATCAGAGAGTCAAAGACAGACACCAGATATTCGTGTACATGTGAGCCAATTATTTGTAACTAGATTTATTTTTCAGTGCTGTTCATGTTTCATTATTAATTTATCAGCTCTAGATTAGCACATCAGGTGAGCTCCCCAGCACTAGACATACCCTTTTCCGTGTTCCATGACTTATATTGCATCTAGTTATGTATCCGTCATTTTAGAAACTAGGCGAATCTATGTGAGTCACCAAAAAAAGTGACATCCCCACTTCAGTTGAACCGTGGTGTGAGTGGCCCCGTTTCTTCAAGGCCCCTGCTCGGTGACCGTCTCCCTCCCCTGCAGCTCTGTCACTTGCTCAGCACCGCGGACGCGGAGGGGCCCAGCCTCAGGGCCGTGCAGATGTCCACCGTGGACGCCTTCCAGGGCGCGGAAAAGGACGTGGTCGTTCTGTCCTGTGTGCGGACCAGGCAGGTGGGGTTCGTGGACTCAGAGAAGAGAGCGAACGTGGCCTTGACCCGGGGAAGGAGGCACCTGCTGATCCTGGGGAACCTGGCCTGTCTGCGGAGAAGCCGGCTGTGGGGGCGTGTGATCCGGCACTGCGAGGGTAAGTAAGGGGGGCACCGCGAGGGTGAGGGGGCACCGCGAGGGTTAGGGGGGCGCGTTCCAGCCGGGCGTCTGGCTGGGGCTGGGCTGGGCGTCCGAGCGCTGGTGTGGGCCCGGAGCCCGGAGCACGGCGCCTCACCGTCCGCCTTTCCAGGGAGGGAAGCCGGGCTGCAGCGCGCCAGCCAGTGTGAGCCGAGGCTGAGCCGGCTCCTGCGCCGCTACTCGGAGGAGCGAGCGGCAGCGAAGCGGCAGAAACGGAGCGGGCAGGACAGAGGCGAGGACGTCGGTCTGTCTGCGGACACTCCGGATCGCCTCACATGACACTTCTTACATGGTTACTGCCCAAACCCTGTTCCCAAAAATACTTCATGACATTTAATGACATTGAATAAGTACAGGTAAAATTTACTCTCCAGAAAGTGTACATAACTTATGTATATGGAAGGTAATACGAAAGCTTACTAATAAAAATTAATTTTTTATATAAATTAAGAATTTTCTTAAAAAATGTTTTACAAGGGACAGAGGGAAGACTTCAGGGTCACTTCAAGGTGAGTCTCTCAAAGGCCCAGCTGCTGGGACACGCTCTGCAGTGACACCGGTGCCCTGAGGGCTGAGCCAGCGCCCAGCCTGTGTGAGCAGGACACTGGCCACCAGGCCTTTCCTGAGCGCACAGAGGAGCGCCAGTCCCCTCCGGGCGGCCGTGCCCAGTAGCCCTGCCTGAGCGTCTGTCGGGTGCAGGAGGGAAGCACGGCCTCTGCTTTGTGTCCTCGCAGCCTTTTCCTGGGCCTTTATTTGCCTAATAGTTATCGGAGGACATAGTATATATTTAAAAATATACTTGTGAGATACATGTTAAGCATTTTTTATTATAAAATACTGCTTGTAGAAAGTCATTGCTAACTTACTGCATCTGTCTTTTTCTGTGCTTTTATTCTATATGTATATATGTGAGTAAATTAAACAATTTGTCATGATTTTTAGACATTATTAACAAGGGGACAGTGACTCATCCCATATGGAAAAATGGCAAGAGCCTGATGATCACTGATATCAATGAAGTCCTCACCAATAAAGAAATCTGTGACCCAAGTCACACAATGTTTTAAAGCTGGGAAAATTGCTTACTTGAATTACTTTGCAATAAAAATGATCAGTTAACCTCTATACAACTCTTCTTTTATGTTTGGGAGAAAAATTAAATCCAACAAACAAGACTCGTTTCGTAATCCTCCACCCTTGTCCCAGTGCCTGGCCGCCTTCTCCCAGCCAGAGAACTCGCACTGCCCAGCCCTTACCTGCCAGGCCTGCATCCAACAGGTGTGCACGGGACCTGAGTCCTACCGCCCGGACTCCCCAAGTCCTGTCTCTCAGCTGTGAGTCGGCCCTTAGCCGGCGGAGCCGGTCTCTGCTCCCAGGAAGACCCTGGGCGCGCGCACTCAGGTCTCTCCCTCGCCTCTGAGGGAGCAGCTGAGCCCCACCTGCGCCTCTGATGGCACCTGAATCCCCCCTCAGGTGCACAGCTGGATGGCGGAGGTCCCCGTCCAGTGACGACCGCTTTCCATAAACCCGCAGCCGCACACTCGTCCCCTGGTTGCTGTCATCGGTCCCTCCCCACTCTGCCTCTCCCTTGGCCAGTTTTCAAGAAGAGCTGCCTCTGGCCACGAGCGGGGAGGGCTTGGTTTCTCTGTGCCTCATCCCACCTTAGGGCTCTGCAGGCTGCCTGTGCCTCGCGGGTGCAGCCTCTGGCCTCTCCACTGGGTGCCAGTTGCACCTCCCCCAAGGGGGTGTCGGAAATGTCCCCAGACGCTGCCTCGTGTCCTGGGTAGGCGGGCCCAGCATCCCACTGAGCTCCTGTGACCCAGGCACGGCGTGGGGCAGGTCGGCACCACCTCTGCCAGTCATCAGCTCTGAAGCCTTTTGCAGACAGGAACACATGGGCACCTTCAGTAGAGCTCCCCACTGCCTCCACAGTGTTTTTGTCTAGAACACAACAGGTACCAATGCTGTGGTATAGAGTGGTTAAGGATTGTTAGCACTATTTTTGGGTAGGAGTGGCTGTATCTTTCAATTACCTAATATTTTTTCTAATTTTTACATATTCTTTCTTGAAGGCAAAAAAATTTTTTGATAAGCTGACATTCAGATTTTGGTTTTTTGGGTTTTTTTTCATTTTACTTTTTGATTCCCTTCACCCATTTCTCCTACCCCTAGACTCTGGCAACCACCAACCTGTTCTTTGTGTCTATGTGCTTGTTTTCTGTCTGTTTTGGATTCCACATGTCAGTGAGATCACATGGTATTCGTCTCTCTGACTCGTCTCACTCAGGACGGTGCCTTCAGGTCTGTGCTCGTCGCAAATGGCAGGATCTCATTGTTTCGTGACTGAGGGGCATCCATTGTATGTACATATGTGATGTGTGTGCACTTGTCCTCGTCACTCCCATCGGTGGACACGGGTTGCTCACAGGTCGTGGCCACTGTAACTAATGCTGCCGTGTCGTGGGGGTGCTGGCATTTGCATAGCTTGTATCTGTGCGTATAGTTTATAGAACGTAAGTTATAGTATAATAGGCCAGGTTCTCACACCTCGTTAACAGCAAACCCATCAGCATTGCAGAGTTGCTTCTGGGCCGAGCTTTGCCGTTTTTCCGGCTCACCTGCCTACTTCACGGTATCGGGCACCTCAGAAAAGAAACCGAAGTAGAGCCTGTGGACAAACGGGGAGCAGATGGGACGGGCTCCATCTGTCCTCCCTCCCTCAGTGGATGTGGTGTTGGTGGTTTCCTCTGAGTCCACCCCTCCCATCCTGGAGAGACCTGTTTGGACAGGGTCCCAGCATCACACCTGTCTGCTGAAGTGTCCCCCAGCCCTGTCGGCTGCACCCGGCCCTCCCCAGGCTGTCACCACACAGGGGAGGGCCTGCTCTCTCTCACTCCTTTCGAAGATCCAGCAAGAGGAGCAAGGGAGCTGCCGACGCCCCGAAGTGGAAACCTGCGTGGGTGGTGGTGACCCTAACCCTACATGTTCTTTTATGGAGAAGGCCTGCACATCACATGACATAGGATGAAATCTCCAGCTTTAACCCAGTCACCAGTTCCCTTTGCTTTACAGGGGAGGCGTGTGGGTTGATTCCGTCACAGAAGTAGTGCTGTCCCTAGGAGGAGGACGGGGACCCTCCCCTTCTAACCATGAGGCCAAGGGCCAGAGAAACCAGAGCGGAGCCACCCAACCCACCAGGATGAGGACGAGGGGACCCCGGCCCACCCGACAGGCTTGTCTGCCCGCCGCACACCTGCCAGGTGAGTCCCTGCATCCAAGTCCGGTCCTCTGACCAACCTCACACTCACTCCCCCCAATGTACTTGTAACAGTTTATTACCTGTGTGTGTGCACATCTATACCTTCCCAGTAAGTGCATTTCAGAGAAACAGGATTATTGACTTTTCTGGGAAGGTCTTTGAAGGTCAACATGTGCTACTAGAAAACCCAGACTGCTACTTACTGCAGGAAAAACTGACTGTTAACAAAACTGTGTCCATAGCTGAGCTGGTCGTTCTTGTCTTATCAAAAGTTGATTAAAAATAATGTTTCATGCACAACCAGCCCCTATCCTTATGACCATACATTTCAACATTCGAGCTACTTGTGACAAATCACAATTTAAAATCGGAGATTGTGAAGCCCAGCTTGAAACTTCATAATAAAACGTAACTTTTAGTGTTCCCTAATATTCTCACAGGGTGTGTGAGTTGGAGATGCCAACGCCAGTCCCTGCTCTTGGCTTTCCATGTAAAGACAGCTGTGAGATAGCTTTCTAACTCAATTCTTTTATATTAAATAAGAATTAGACGGAAATTGGTGATTTACTTGACAAATATTGGACCCTGGAAATTAAATAATTGTTCTAAAAACATTAGCTCAATGCTGATTTGAAATGCCTGCTTTGTAATTAGTCGTGAGTGAAGTGTATTATTTAGTTCAAGTTGTGTTTTTGGTTTATATTAGCATGACTTGATTATAGAGTAAAGGAAACATGCAACCCAAACAGCTACCACCTCTGCGCCCCTCTTACCCTGAAACAGTAGCTGGGTTGGTATTTTTCAACTTTTCTGTTAGTCTGCATTGATTTTTCCTTACTATTCTTTCTAATCAGGCAAATCTGGTATAACTTGCCAGTAAATGAAGGTGTGAGTGTGTGTGTGTGTGTGTGTGTGTGTGTGACTGCATGTGTGTGGGTGAGCATGTGTGTGTGAGTGTATGTGTGAGTTTGTTTGAGCGTGTGTGTGTGAGTGTGTATGGGGGTGAGCGTGGGTGTGGGGTCGTGTTCATTGCAGCATAATCACAGTGGCCAAAACATGGAAACAAGCAAAGTGTCCTTCAGTAGAAGACTGGACAAGTGTGACACATACAATGGACACTCCTCAGACATAAAAACAGATGAATCACTGGCATGTGTGACAACATGGATGGACCTTGAGAATATCATGCTAAGCAAAATAAGTCAGAAAAAGTCAAGAGCCATGTGATTTCACTACATATGGGCTATAAACCGAAACTCACAGACCACAGTATGTAGGTGACCAAAAGGGGGGGGGAGGTGCTAAATATACGATGAGGAAGACTTTGGTGGGCACACAACACAACACACAGGTCATGTATCCTACAAATGTCCACTTGAAACCTATATAATCTTATTAATCAATGTCCTCCCAATAAATTTAATAAAACACACAAACCCAAAGGAAAGACTAAATTATTTATACCACTTCAGTTTACATCTCATTGGCTGGGATTGGGTTGTAGCGACCACTGCGAGGCCCGGAACAAGGAGGAAGACAGTCTCTCCTGGAGCAGCCCGGCGCCCAGCTGAAAGGGGACCCGTCACTGGAGCAGGCGGCTAGTGGCAGCCGCTGCCAGTTCCTCCCACAGCGGCGTCGTGTGAGAGACGGTCCGTCCAGTCTTGCGGGAGAGGGTGGCGCCATTCCCATCATTTCATGAGGCGGTTCCCAGCGTGGTGTGGAGCTGTGGATCCAAGCACAGGTGTCTAGGGGACACGGGTTCTTTGTGGCCACTGGTCATGTGAGATGTTAGCCCTGTTCACACTTATGTTTCTGATCATGTTCGCTTAAAGTGGTACTTTACAAGCCAATACTTTGAAAGGATATATGTACCTCTATGTACATTGCAGCGTTATTTTGAATGGTCAAGCTTTGGGAGCAACCGAAATGCCCATTAGTAGATGAGTGGATAAAAAAGTTGTGGTACATTTACACAGTGGAATACTACTCTGCTAATAAAAAGGAAAACAATTTTACCCTT